GTCCCAGCATCTTATACCTGGAATCTAAAGGGAGAGCAACACAATATCCAGGCAGCATCTTTGGATGTTTCCAGTGATAGCTGATAGGAAGTCTTTTGGAATTCCCCTCCAAGAGTGGAGGGCATGAAATTCCTGGCTCCTTTTTCACTCCCTGTTACTTCAGACCTAGACAACTTACTTTCTCATGCCCATGTCTACTTCTGTCAACTGCTCTATCCACACTAACCTAACTCATGTCTCTTTTTACCAAGCTGTGGCTACTCTCATATAATGTTTTCTGAGTGTCCCTACTGCTTATGTGATAAGATCAATGCATTATGGTTATCAGACTATGGAAGTAATGTCAAACTTCCTTGGTGAATTCTCTTGGTTTTGAGGTGTCACTTTACATAATGTCTTGGGCCCTGCAGCCATGTGCTATCAATACCATGTGGCCAGAAGAAACAGCTTTCTTTTTTAATTTCCTTCCAGTCATTCTAGAGCTTTACAGAAAAGAAATTTATATATCTGAGAGACAACTGTGGGTTTTAATGAAAAAAAAAGTAAAGCTTGACCCCTACCAATCAAGGCAGCTTGTGGGTCCTGACCCTCTCTGATCAGAAACCTTAATTCTTGCTAAGGTTTCTTCAGAGATGAAGGGAGCATGTGGTCCTTGGTTCTCATCAACCAAAGGAACTCTGAAATTGACAAGTGCATGCTACTGTTAATTGCCAGGTCTGATAATTTGTGTCTCAGATGTATTCCACACTTCCTTTTTTTTTTAACTAATGAATTGTTTAAGTTAGCCTGGAAAAACATAGCAGGAGCTCATCAATGTCATAGGGAGTAAGGATGGCTCTGCCTGAAAAACTTCATCTACCTTCATGTTCACTAAGAGGGGAGACAACACAGATTTCAGGGTCATGTCAGTGAGTATGGCTACTCTGACTGACCTCTCTAACACTCACTAATGGGAAGAGGAGAAATAGTGGGTTTATAGGGGAATGTACTGATGTGGGGGGGTGATAAAGAAGACACCAGGAGACATTTTAACATCTCCTTTTGGTCCTACAGATGGATAACCATCCATCACTCATTTGACCCACAGACCTTGCAATAATATACTTTATATTTTTCTGCATTCTTGCCTAAGTTTAAACTGGGTGATTAAAAAAAGTGACCTCTAAAAGGAAATATCATTCTTAGTATTGTCTTTTGTAGGAAATGGGGCACATGTTAATTTTTCAGGTTGCCTGCTTCCATTTACAGGTACATACTGATTGTAGGTACAGAATTTTAAGCCATTGGCCACCCCTAAGTCTATCAAGGGAGCATTTAAGTTAAGAACTTAAACTCAAGGCAGATTGGTCAGTCAGCATGATTCTCCATGACCATGGGTGCTTACTACCATATACTCATGACCTTATAAAATTTAAGGTATCCAATGGTGGCCCTTCAAAATAAAATCTTCCTCCCTGATAGCACTATGCAGTGGGAAAATAACTTTTCTGTCTCTTGTCAATATCTGATTCAAATGCACAACACAGCAAGTGGTAAGATTCATATAAACAAATTTATACATCAAGGACAAATGTTCTAGGTTCAGCCTAATGTCACTGGGCTCAATAGTGAGTCTACAAATAAGTTAGTAAATTTGTTATTCACTATGCCTTGTGGTATTAAGAAAGACAATAAAGTAAAAGGGAACCAGCAAGGAAGAGAAGTAAATATTAGAAGAAGAAATTTTTAGTAAACAAAGAATTGTATATAGTAAGACTTTGTCCTGAGGTAATATGGTTGGAATTTTTATAATGAGAAAGATAAAGACAAAGCTTGAAAGCCCAAGAAGGTCACAAAAGTTCTGAGTAGGTTATATAAGGTAAATGATGAGACTTGGATATGATATACATGATGATAAAAAGGTTATTAAAATCTCTAGGGCCAAAGTGCAATCCTTTTTAAAAGATCAATGGAGTTCTCTTAAGTTATTGCTCTGCTCTTCATAGAACGTAGGACTGGCTTAAACAACAAAAAGTATGTGAGATCAGCGTAACTACTCGAGTGGACAGCTGAGTCCTAACAACATCTAGATTTATTTTGAAGATTGATTTCTGCCCAAGCTTCATCTAGATACTGCTCAAAAGTGAAATGCCGCTTCTCTCTTTTGGAAGCTGACATAGCACCTTCTGGTATCATGAAAGCTAGTCCTCAAGAAAAAGGCTTTCAGGACAGATCCAGCTTGTGTCCTTCTGGCCCAGCATCCAAATGCATACTGTCTTCAGAAATGGGGACTTACCTTCCACCTCTGAGAAGGAACCAAAGCAGCATCAATAGTCTACAATGTTTGGGGAGTCTTTTGGGCTCCTCTGACCAACAACTCAAAGTGGAGGCATCTCAGGCCAGGGTGTTGGGCCTTTTTGTTAGATGTTCTATCGCTCTCTGAGGGAGCATTGCCAGCCCAGAAATATTTTTTCATTTAAACCATATTTGTGTATTATACACAGACTTATGTGTATTATATGAATTGTTGGGTTGATAACATCTTTACTGCTATTTTACCCTCCTCTCCCCTTCTTTATTTCTTCCCCTTTGTTTTACTCTCTTCAAACCACCTGTACTCTGCTATTTCCCTCTCTATGGCTCCTCTTGCCTCATGGTCCTTTCTTACTTCCTGGTTTCTGCAGTTGCTCCAGGCATACTCACATCTGAAGTTTGGAGCTAGGAATCATGTATGAAAGAGAACATGTGTCTTTTAGATTCTGGTTACTTCTTCAATACTATCTTTTCTAGTTCTAGCCATTTACCTGAAATGTCATGTCTTATATTTTCATTATCCCTTCATCAGTTAAGTGTGTGTGTGTGTGTGTGTGTGTGTGTGTGTGTATGTATGAACAATTAAAGAAATAGAGGCCATGAATTTGAGAGAGAGCTGGGGAGGGGCCTGGGGGAGTAAAAGGGGAAAATGATGTAATTATCTTTAATTTCAAATATAAAAATTATGGCATTGCTGTGGATTATTAAGTTTCAACTACAGGAATTTGGAACTACTGTCCAGGCACATGAATTTGATGTGTGGCTTGATCAATTTACACTTGAGATTTCATCTGAAATGAATTATTACATCTGGTAAAAAACACCAAAAGCTAAAGCACTAAATCCAACAAAGCAATTTAAGGAGAAAGGCTTACTTGCCTAGCTCAAGCTCTTTCCCTCATAAAAGACATTTTATGTGGGACTGATAGAATTCCATAACAAAGGAATTCTTAAAGGTTAAATGTCAAGTTTGTTTTAAACAAGAGAAATTGTGAAGACCTTTCAGCTGCAAAACTGTGGGTACAGTGTAAGCATGCAGCTGCCATACTGTTGTATAGCAGTTTCTTCCAAAATTGAAATATACTATCCATCAAAGACTGAAACATACTATCTATCCAATCTATCCAAGATTGAAACACACTATCCATCCCAAATTGAAACATACTATCCAGCTTCAGAACCTCTTCAAACCAGAAGGTAAACAACTTGAAATAGCTCCTGGAAACCCCTGAAGCTGACCATATTCACCAGTAAATAAGACAAGCTGAAACCAAGTATCTTAGACCAGACCAGCTGACTGGAAGAGAATTAGAACTGGACACTTGGAAAGGACACTCACCAACCTGTTGAGCTCCCTGCAGGCTGTGCGGCATGCTCTAGGTTGATCCCAGTTGTTGTGAGAGGTCATGGATACTGGGGTGTGTTTTGGTGATTCGGCTTTGAGTCAGTTCTGCGCCTGTAAGTAACCCCTCACCCATATTCTTGAATGAAACGTCAATAAAATTCATTGGTTTACCAAGCAGGATTTTGGTGTTATCTGTGCTGTGGTCTGTCTTGGGCTCCCTATCTGAGGTAAGTAGGCCTGTGTGTTGTGTCTCACCAGGAAAAGTTTTGTCACACAACACACATCCTGTGTGTGAAGCTCACAGGACAACTTTTCCTTACTTATTTCTCTCCTTTTATCATGTGGGTTTCCAGTGGTTAAACTCAGGTCATTAGGCTTGTATGACAAACCTCTTTACATGCTGGGCCATCTCATGGGCCCTGTTTTGCTTTTTGAGGTGGTATTTTGGGCCTGGAACTAGTGGAGACCCTCTCACCATGGCCACTTTACAGGGAATTAGTGGCATGGGTCATCACATCCATTTTAAAACATGTACATTTCTAAAATACAATGCTAACATATTCAACAGAGGTGCTCCTATTAAAATTACTAGTCATCCTCCCCTTATAAAACTCCTCAATGTTTTATATTGATATCTTGCTATCCTGGAATCTGTGATATATATATATACATATATATCATATACATAATGTATATACATATATCAAATATATATCATGTATACATACATATCAAATAATGAATTACATAAAAATAAATTGTGAATTAATAATGAATTTTTATGCTATTAATGCTGATTTATAAGAACAAATTATAAATCCTCTTTATTCAAGGTAAGTTTTCACTGTGTTTGTCTTTTAAAAACCAAGCTATGAGTTGGGTATGGTAACACATGCCTGTAAACCCAGCTCTTTTGAAGCTGAAGCAATAGGATTATTGAGTTCCAGGCCAGCCTAGCCTCAATAGTGAGACAAAAACAAAACAAAACACAACAAAACTAATAATAATAAATATTTTTAAAATTATAATTTTGAAATATGGTAAATCTGCTGCCTTGCCCTGTGTAAGTCCAACTGGGTGTAGGGTTGTTTTGAAATTTATGAGTAGACTGTATCCCATGACCAGGGGTGGAAATACAACAGGAACCGTACCCTGCCCACTGCGGTCCCTCAGAGAACCCCGTGGATGGAAAGTGGGAAACAGTTGTTTAGGATCCTGGACAGTGCTGAGGCCTCCATCCTGGCATCTTCCAGGGAAGCCTGAGAACTTGCCCTGGGGCCTAGGAAGATGGCGGTACTCCATGACCACCAAGGCTGTACTCCAGGGTCACAGGGCTGGGTCTCAACCCGAGCGCACACCTTACCGTGAGCCCCCGACCCAGTTCATCTCTCTATGGCTTCCCGTGCTGGGCCCTCGCAGCTCGCACTCTTAAGTTCGCACGCAGAGAGCCACGCAGCCAGACAGCAGTCTGGGCTTCTCCCAACAGCCACTGCGCAAGAGCGCCCTCCTTCCGGTGTGGACCAGGTCCCTCTCCGTGCGCTTCCGGCTGGGCGCCCATGGACACCGAGTTTTCCATCCGTCTCTGTGCTGGGCCATCAGCTCACGGGCCGGACTTGGATATCTGGATATATACAAATATCTGGATGTGGAGGTGACATTGCCATTCCAACTTGTCATGCCATACCCAAATTCTTGACATGAATTTGCAGTACAATTTTAATATTTAGAACACATTGTTGAGAAGAAACATCACGCATGACAAACTTAACTGTTGTGTACGGTTTGTGAGTCGCTCAAACAGCTTTATGGAGCTTTGATTGACTGTGAAAGTCCTAAGACTTTACATTCCTTTCTAAGCAACTGTAACAAAATCCCAAATAAAAATTGGATTTTTTTTTCCTGTTCATTTCTGTGTGGTTGTTGTAGTCTTCACAAAACATTTCTCTTCCAAATCATCATGTTGGGGTTAAAAATGAGAAGTTTCTTGTCCCGAATAAATGCACAAAGTAATTTTTTTCAAATTGTCATGATTTTTTTTCCAGAAAAAGCATAAAAATAGAATACTTATCCAAGTTAAGAAATGGTACCTAGAGTAAATGCATCTTCCTTAATAACATTAATCCTAATTTTTGTAACAAAAACCATATTGTATATGTAGTTGAATCAAAACTATTAATTCAACACTTCGGAAAAATCATGGAATGCCTGTTGATTTTTAGTTAACTGTGCAGTCAAGGCAGAAACAATAGACCTGTGTCTCCTACTTGTGTTCTAAAACTTTGTTGAGTAGCTAAAAGGGGGACCTTTATAGCTAATACATTTATTTATTTATTTATTTATTTATTTATTTATTGCTTTTGTTTGAAGGTACACTGAAAGTTTGCTTGTTTGCTGAGGAGAGTGAAGGACTGAGAAACTAGATAAATTATTTCTTCTCCCTGACTAGAGTCCCTCTTTTGTTCCCAGTCACAAGGGTGCAGTGGGAGTGTGAACCAGTCTACAGATGAACATTGAGACACAGGCTTTGACAAAATATTGCCAGGTTTTCCTTTACAAAAAACAGTATCTCCATATGAACATGTACATAGTTGACATGTTGACTTAAGATGTTATCATCAATGTTGTTTATGCCTTCAATAAGTAAGGCTAGCATAACTGATACATAGCGTTTAAACACCACTATTCAAGGGCCAAAATACCAATTAGGTAATCATTTGGGTTTGAAGGCAATTCAAGAAAACAATGTTGTACAAATAAAATATGATTTATTATTTTTGTGAAAAAAACCTCTCATTCTAAAAATGTAAATAATTTATCTTTTATTTCTAAAAATTTCCTGCTGATATATAATGAAAACATAAACAAACTGTATATATTTATCTGTATCTGTACACAGTTCTCTTCATTAAATGTTTCATACTTTATGAAACATTGCACACACACACTATATATATATATATATATATATATATATATATATATATAATTCTGCTCTTGATCCAGGAGATGATCACACTTTTTAGAGAAGAGTGATTTAATTACTGTATTTAGAAAAAAAATTTAACTATATTTTTATAGTTAAATATAGTTTAACTATATTTCCTTTCTGTGAATGTGTGTTTTACCTGTACTTGTGTATGTATACTGCTTTCATGCCTAAATACTCTCATGGGCCATAAGAAGGCATGGGATTCCCTGGGAGGAGTTACATACAATTGTGAATCACCACATGGGTGCTAGGAACCTGGGTCCTCTGCTAGAGCAACAAATGCTCTTAACTACTTAGCCATGTCTTCAGCCCCCTGCATTTATAAATTTTAAAAATGAATGTCAAATATTTTTCTCTGATTATTTATCCCCTTGAGAAAATGTTCATATTTCCCATATAGAATTACATAAATCTCAGAAGTTTTAGTGGAAATTTAATAATGCTTACTATAATAACAAGTGATTTTTTTCACTTCCTTTTTCTCTCCTAGTTTGGAATTCAAAGTAAAATTAGCTTTCTCTTTGCTTTAATGGTGCAAAGTCCTGTTGCATTCTTTTATGTTGCATTTGTTTAGCTCTGTGAAGCTGTGTAACTTTGCCTGTCTAAAACACCTAATTGGTCTAATAAGGAGCTGAATGGCCAATAAGGAGGCAGGAGAAAGGATAGGCAAGGTTGGCAGGCAGAGAGATCTGGGAAGAAAAGATCCAAGGATCAAGAACAAGGAGAGGGGAATGCCTGGGGTCAGCCACCCAGCCAGTCACAGAGTAAAAATGAAAGTAAGAAAAGGGAAAAGCCCAGAGGCAAAAGGTAGATGGTGATAATTTATGTTAAGATAATTTAAATTAATCTAGAAGCAAGCCAAACTAAGGTGGAGCATTTATAAGTAAGAATAAGACTCTCTCTCTCTCTCTCTCTCTCTCTCTCTCTCTCTCTCTCTCTCTCTCTCTCTCTCTCTGTGTGTGTGTGTGTGTGTGTGTGTGTGTGTGTGTGTGTGTGTGTGTTCATTTGGGACCTGGGTAGTAGGTCCCCCCAAAGAGTCAAAAAGCAAAAAGCAAAAGCAACCCACTACAAGCAATCTTGATGCCTTCTTTTTAAAAAAATGTAACCATGCACTGTTTAACAACAAGAATAAATTTTGAGCATTCATTTTAGATGGTTTTATCATAGGTCAAACATGAAGTAGACTAGCACAAAACTAGTTGAATGGATAAGTTATTTTGCATGTAGTCTTGAAGCAAGTAACTAAGAGATACAATTAACATGAGAAGTATGGAAGTGCCGGTGGTACAACACAACATACTGTTTAACAATAAGCCATTTTAAATAGTTAGGGTACCCTGCAAAACAACAATTAAAACAGTATAATAGATACGTGAACCAGTAACATTATCATAATAAACCAACATATGGCATTTATGTTATATTATATTCAAGAGTACAGTCAGTCACTTTGCCGCATCATAGATTTGAATACACAAGCAATGCTTTGTGTTATGACATTTATGGCTACAATGTCAATAGACAATAGGGAAATTTTCCGTTCTTCATTTTCACATATGTGTGGTCCATTGTTGGCTGGGATGTTGTGTGGTACATTTTTTATCTCACAATCCTTCCTTTGCCCTATCTGAAGTCCTGAGCCTAGTCTTAAATCTCAGGACCCACCATCCCCGATTTGGAGCAGTACAGGATGGAGGATAACAGTGGGGTTTAAATTATCAAAGTCCGTGCTAAACTGGCTCACACTCAAGTCAAATCACACACTGACCTTTTTCATTATTCTAATTACTGACCTTCAGCCTCCCTTATACCACAATTCTCATGCCAATTTTCTTATCTTGATTACCTAATTCTTCTCACAAGTCTCTTACCTCTGGAATTCAAAGGCTGCTTCTACTAACCCACTGTACCCCCAAATATTCATTATCTGGCCTGCTGTCTTAGTCAGGGTTTCTATGGCAGGGAAGAGACACCATGACCATGGCAACTCTTACAAAGGAAAACATTTCCTTGGCATTGGCTTGTAGTTTCAGACGTTCACTCCATTATCACAATGGTGGGAAGAATAGTGACCCACAGGCAGACATGGTGCTGGAGACATAACTGAGAGTTCTACATCCAGATCCAAGGGGACAGGAAGAGAGAGACAGAAAGAGAGATGGGGGGGCTGGGCCTGGTTTGAGCATTTGAAACCTCAAAACTCACCCCCAGTGACACACTTCACCCAACATGACCATACCTCCTAGCAGTGGCACTTCCTGGTGACCAAGCATTTAAATACATGAGCCCATGGGGGCCATTCTTATTCAGACCACACACCATCCTATTACAGCTAAGTGCTGTAGTATTTGCATCTTTAGTGATCTTTCAACCTAGATTTCCTGCTTGCTGCCCCTTTTCTGAAATGGCTGCTTCTTGTTTGTCAGTGATGCAAGCTACTTCCTTCACTGTCAGGTGCCTGAGAACCTTGGCATCCAGCCTGAATGAACACCTTGCCTCTACCTCCAGTTGGGTATAAACTGGCCCCTGTCCTGTCCAATGGATGTTAACCCATCTATCTTTAGCTACCAGGAAATGTGACATAAATGATTCCATGTTTTTGCATGTGAATCAGGCTTATTTTCCACATACCAATAGAATGATCCAAGAAATAAAGTATTTTTTCAATATCTACTACCACTCAGTGATCTTCACGTGTGGTCTTAGAAAATCAACCCCTTCCCCCAGACTCACACGACAGTCTCAAAGCCTCAAGCATGCTAAGCAAGCACTTTGTCACAAAGACATACAACAGCCCAGAAAGTCTTTTTTTAATTTTTTAAGGTAAAATATAATTACTTCCTCATCAAATTTTTCTTCCTTCCAACCCCTCCTGTGGCCCCCAACTACCTCTCAAATTCATAGCTTCTTTTTCTTTCATTATTATTGTTACTTACACACACCTGCATAAATATATAAATAAAGCCTGCTGTGTCTGGTTAGTGTTGCTTGAATGTATATGATTTCAGGGCTGAGCACTTAGTATTGGATAACCAGTTAAGGAGCTCATCCCTGGGGAAGACTATTTCTCCCCCTCTTGGCTCTGCGGAGTTGCCTGTCACTCTTTGCCTACGGGTAGGGCCCCCTTGAGAGTTCTACCTCCGCATTAGCAGGTCTGTTGGTGCTGCATTTGTTCAGATCCCACTGAAGCAGATGTACAGCTAGCGGATCTTGAGCAAACTTCCCTGTTATTTCTAGGAAACATACCCTCACCACCGATTCTCACACATGCATTGGTAAATCTGTTTAGTTGGACATAACCAAATGATCTTTGTATAGTAATTCTTAGAATTAATATACGTGTAGTAAAGAGCTTAAATGAATACTGTTTAAAGAAGCATTCTTAGAATTCTTTGGCTCGTGACTAGCTGAACAATGGAGATCACTCAGAATTGGGGCACATATTCTAGCACTGAGGTTTGTAGACTTCTGTATGAAAGGAGTCTTAGCTTAATGATCATATAGGATGCAGCAGGTTAAAATTGGCCATTCTGATTTTCCATGCTGTGTTCTAGCTCATATGTACACTCCTTCTGGATAAGTAGAAGTGCAAGCCAGTTGTTGGGAACACAGGAGAAAGGGGTAGAAAAGAGGGTCTATCATGCAAAACCACATTTGCTTTGCCGTTAAAAATGACCTTCATATTTTAAACATGAAAAGTTTTGCTTGACTATTGACTATTTCACTGGAATTGTGAGTAATTTCTAAACATTCTTGATTTTTATCAAAAAGCAAAACTGTTTGTAAAAAGAAGCCTCTAAGCCTAAAGAAAAACTTGGGGGGAAAAAGTCTTGAAATGCATCCTAAAAAGCCTTTGCCATCGTCTAATCCCAGGTCAATTCCCAGCTGATTAAATTCTTATTATAGGGCAACATTACCTCCAAATAAAAACACAGGGAAATTTTTTACCTTTTTTTAATTTAAATTAGTAACAATCTTGCTTCACATGTGAATCCCAGCTCCCTCACCCTCCCCTCCTCTCCTCCTCCCCACCCCATACTCCCAATCCCCTACCCAATCCCCACTCGGCTCCCAGGGGGTGGTGAGGACCTCCATGGGGGGATATCCAAAGTCTGTCATATCTGAAAGATTCAGGCATTACGCTGGCCTGCCCTGTTACCTGGCAGGATGCACTCAGGCAACACTCTGGCCAGCCCAGAGTTCTGTGAGAACCACGCAGGTGCAAAGGACCCCTTTAAAGGACTGACCCCTGCCTGCTTATGCTCTCTTACTCTCTTGCACTCTTACTCTCATCTCTCTCTGTCTCTGTCTGTCTCTGTCTCTCTCATATCTTATCTCTCTCTCTGCACGGGTTGGTTACCTCTCCCCCCCCTTTCCCTCCCTGTCCACCAATAAACTCCACGTGGGATCGTTGAGTTTGTGTCTCCTTACTGGATAAACCTAAACATTTTAACAACAATATCATCTGGAGCAGGGCTTAGGCCCAGTGTGTCCAGGCTGAGAGAGCAACCCTCAATATGGAATGGGCTCCCAAAGTCCATTTGTATGCCACAGATAAATACTGATCTACTACTCAAGGCCCCATAGATTGCTGAGGCCTCTTCACTGACACCCAAATTTAGGGGGTCTGGATCAGTCCCATGCTGACCTCTCAGCCATCAGTCTGGGGTCCATGAGATCCCCCTTGTTCAGGTCAGCTGTTTTGTGGGTTTCACCAGCCAGGGTCTTGACCCCTTTGCTCATCACTCCTCCCTCTCTGCAACTGGTTTCCAGGAGTTCAGTTCAATGTTTAGCTGGGGGTGTCTGCCTCTGCTTCCATCAGCTACTGGATAAAGTAGTCTTGAATCTCAATATCAGATAAGAACATTTAAGGTAGCCTCTCCACTATTACTTAGATTGTTAATTAGTGTCATCCTTGTAGATCTCTGGGCATTTCCCTATTGCCAAATCTCTCAGTATAACGACTCCCTCTATTATGTTATCTCTCATCCTGTTCTGTCCTGTTCTTCCCCTGACTCAACCTTCCTGCTCCCCCATGTCCTCCTCTCCCCTCCTCTTCTCCCCCTCTCTTTTTCCACTAGGGAATTTTTAAAGTCTCTTTGTAAACAAATGTGTGTCAGGTCAACATGGCTAAACATGACCATCGTGGAGCGAGAAGACTTTTATTATCAAGACAAGTTAATGCAGGGTAGAGTGAGGGAGAAGGACTCTGAGTGTAGCGGGGAACTCTTCTGTAATCAATTTGCCTCCGGTTTATTTACCAGGAACACCCTCAGTCACAATCGAATAGGTTCTGGGAATATCTGAGAAAACGGAAACAAGGGCACTCGGAGAGGCGGGAGGGAGACACAGCTTCAGAACAAAACATTCTCAAGGATTTGCCTTTGCTACTTTTGTTTTGTGGTTCTAGCGCTTATCACTCTGTTGTCTGACTCCTCTCCCTGGGCCGGTTCCGTTAACCCTCTTATGGCTCCACCCTCCTCTGGTTCTTTCTCTCCCGGCTCTTTAAAGCTCCTGCAAATCTTGCTATCCGCTTGTCCTTTCCCCTTGTGGAAGGAAATCTTAGAGACTGGATGTATATTCTGAAACTTCTGAGGGTTTCTAAGTGACGCTGAGCATGCTCAGTAGCTCAAAGGCAAGGTTTGGTCTCCGGCAGTTGACCTGATTCGACCTCTCCAGAAATAGACATTTAACTCTCTGAACCCCTGTTTAAGGATAAAATTCGTTTGGGCTCTGTCTTCATTTTTAAGATTCAAAGGGAAGAGGCGAGGACTCCAGGGTCTCACCGCCCTCGCAGCCAATGAGGAGCCCGGGGGAGGAGCCTGGCCAGCTCTGACTGGTGAGAGGCTTGCCCCCAGTAGATGCCGTGGAGTTTGAGTTTTGCTGCATCCGTCACTGAAGAACAAAATAAGAGTAGAGGAGACAGACAGTCTGCAGAGCATGGGAGGCGGTGGGGTTTTCTGAAACGTTTGCTAGGCTTTTCGTGGAGCATGAGCTTTTAAAACGAATTCTTTTTAAAGAAACTCATTAGTGTGGCTGGGAAAATGATACATATGCTAAATGCAGCAGCCTATCGGGTGAAATGGACCAGATCCGGTGCTGCTAAGAGGGCTGCCTGCCTGGTGGCTGCGGCATATGCTCTGAAAACCCTCTATCCCATCATTGGCAAGCGTTTAAAGCAGTCTGGCCACAGGAAGGAAGAAGCTGCCGCTTACCCGCCTGCAGAGAAAAGAAAAATACTGCATTGCACAGAAATCGGCTGCAAAAAGGCTGCGCCCGGACTGAATGCAGAATTTTTCAAACAGCTACTAGAACTTCGGAAAATACTCTTTCCAAAACTTGTGACCACTGAAACGGCGTGGCTCTGCCTCCACTCGGTGGCTCTAATCTCAAGAACATTTCTTTCTATCTATGTGGCTGGTCTGGATGGGAAAATCGTGAAGAGCATCGTGGAAAAGAAGCCTCGGAGTTTCATCATCAAATTAGTCAAGTGGCTTATGGTTGCCATCCCTGCCACCTTTGTCAACAGTGCTATCAGGTACCTGGAGTGCAAACTGGCTTTGGCCTTCAGAACTCGCTTAGTAGACCATGCCTATGAAACCTACTTTGCAAATCAGACTTATTATAAGGTGATAAATATGGATGGGAGGCTGGCCAACCCGGACCAGTCCCTCACTGAAGACATTATGATGTTCTCACAATCTGTGGCTCACTTGTATTCCAACCTTACCAAACCTATTCTAGATGTAATCCTAACTTCCTATACTCTCATCCGGACTGCTACATCCAGAGGAGCAAGCCCAATAGGGCCCACCCTGTTAGCCGGACTTGTGGTATATGCCACTGCTAAAGTGCTGAAAGCTTGCTCTCCCAAATTTGGTACACTGGTGGCCGAGGAAGCTCATAGGAAAGGCTATCTGCGGTATGTTCACTCCAGAATCATAGCCAATGTGGAAGAAATTGCCTTCTACAGAGGACATAAGGTAAGGCAGACATTAAAGCAATGGGTGAAATGCGAGACGGTTCAAGCAGCCACTGCAATGCTAGATACCATCTGTTGTTGTCTTATTGACAGGCCCACTTTCTGTATGTCATTGGCCCTTTAAATCACCAACTGTTTGAGACTTAAAGAGCTTTATGAGATTTCATGAGAATAAAATTTCATACTCTTTAAAGGAGTCTACAGGGACTCAGTTACTCAAACACAAATGAAATGAACTCAAAGGCATTTCCTTATAACCTAAATATTAACTTGGTGAGTGGTTCTGTACATGTAGGGAAATGCATATTTGGGAACTAGTAAGAGTAAACCTCTTTGGATTCAGATGGAGGTGTGAGGGTGCTATTTGTTGTGTTCAAGAGAGGGAAGCTGCTTTCAAGGAGAAAACAGCTTGGAAAATACTGCAAGACTGATCAAGGAGAAAGTGTCCTAAAACTTAAGAAATGCAGAGGGGTGTCTAGTGAAATAGAATGTCCTTTACTTTTAGTTCATGATGAGCTCATACTTTTGACAGAGATAATTAAATTTTGCCTGGTAGAGAAGTAAACACTGATATTAGAGGAGATGGGAGTAGATAGAAACACTAGGGTGGTATTTTTAAATGTTATGAATCTTCAATACAATTACCCCAGGTATGTTATAGTTGCTTCAGGATATTGAATATGATAAATTTGGAGGTAGCACTTATGAAACCTTAATGTCAATGGTTTGGTAATGTAGTACTTAAAGATATATTTTACTTACCAAGCAGAGTGATGTACCTCTTAAAGCAACAAGAATTATCATTGTTTAGGACCTCTAGTCCCACTTGGAATTGACCTTGTGTGTTGTGTTATCTGTACTGATTAGCTATATTTGAATCATTAAACTTAATGTAAATTAATGGATTCCTTGCTTAAAAGACAAAATCTGGGAAATTGGGTCAATTCAAAAGTAGTCCAATTATATGTATTTTGTTTGTTTTTAGTTACTGTTCCTGTTCTCTAGGATGATGTGGATTTAATATTACTTACCCATATTTTAATAGAATATTATTTCATTTTATCATCTTAAAATTTAAAATTGCAATTATGAGTCTCTCTGTTTCTGTTCACTTTCTGTCTGTCTGCCTCCCTGTGTCTGTCTGTATGTACATAAGTCTTTCACATTCTCTCTCTCTCTCTCTCTCTCTCTCTCTCTCTCTCTCTCTCTCTCACACACACACACACACACACACACACACACAGAACTGTTAAGAATTGGACCCAAGGCCTCATGTATATCAGCAATAGGCAAGTGTTCTAACACTTAACTATACCCCTATCCTATTCATGTGTGTTTCAAACAATATATTTACTGGATAGCATGATTTTTTAAAAAATATATAAGTGTAGGATAAACTATATTATGACTAATTCTAATATCTAGTTACATTAATTGGTTATATAACAATGGCTATGCTAAATAAAGCAAAACAATATACCTATATCATTAATGAGAACCTTTCAGTAATTGCAGAATTCATTTCTGTAGTTTATTGATTCTTATCTTTTTCCTTTTTTAGGTAGAAATGAAGCAACTGCAGAAAAGTTACAAGGCTTTAGCTTATCAGATGAACCTTATTTTATCCAAGCGCTTGTGGTACATCATGATAGAACAGTTCTTGATGAAATATGTGTGGAGCAGCTGTGGACTAATTATGGTGGCTATACCTATTATCACTGCAACAGGCTTTGCTGATGGTGGTAATAACATTCACACTTAATCTTAAATATATGCTTAACGTTGTTTCTCTTTAGGGTGCACTTGCACGTTCCGTTTGTACTGTGTAGACAGCCATTGTCTGTCTTTATTTGTACTATGAATCAGTGGCAGTTTTCAGTGTTCAATAATGAGACCATCAGTATGAAAGAAGCAACAGGCTGCTCAAAGGACCTTGCCAAAGAGGTTCCTGACAATAGTGTTTCTGGAAGTCAAAATGGAATAGTTTTAATTATGCTGCCCCATGACTTTTCAGTTTGTATTTATCACACAGTGAACTAATATCTTCAGAAAGAGTATGGCATAAACACACCTCATGTTTTGTCTTAACATCCTATAGATTAAGCAGATAAAATTCCTATAACTGAATTTGTCCTGATTTGTGATTTGAAAGTTGTTTGGCTACATTGGATAGCCAGAAATGTTGTTTCATGTGCATGCAAGTGTCATGGAATGGGCTCTCTAGTTGTAGTAATACAGACACTTCCCCATGGCCATGATTTGGTGATGTTTGGATGGGGGGGGTGCATATAAAGCTGCAGTTACCTACTTCTGTGCTATCTTTGTCTCACAGTTTTTTTTAAATCAACATTTCTTCTTTGTTATAACTAAGAAAGATAAGGGCAGGACGGGCAATGTTGCAATGCTCTCCATGTATGAAAGCTTAGATCTTTACTGTTAGGAATGAAGGGGTTACGGTTAGAGTTCAACTTCTATAGATTCATATTCAAGGATTTAGCCAAGCAGAAATGGAAGTCCAAAGGAAAAACATAATCAATACATACTTTTTATTCCCTAAAGAACTCGGTGTAATGACTGTGGCATTTGCAACAGATGAAATATTGTAAATGATTTACAAAGTATTGTAAATTTTGATTTAAAAATTGTCAAATTTGACTCATTATCAAGCTAAATATGTCCATTTCAGTGAACTGTGACTTGTCAGTCCTCCCTTGTGATCAGCACTAACTACATAATGAATATACTCCACAAGTAAACTGCCAAATCGGAGCTGTGGACATTGATTTTTATTGCTTTCATGTGTTCAAATTTACCAAGCAATAATTTTAAATTTCTATTATAAAAGGTATTCTTAGTAATAGTATTCAAGACATAATCCTTTCATGAAGAAATAACTACTTTTCCCAAAGAGTGTTTACAGTGATAAGGAAGACAAGGAAAAAGTGTACACTCTCAAGACTGGCATTGCTATGAAATATGGAAAAATATAAATTAAAAAGTTATCTATTAAACTAATAACATTCATCAACAAGTTTCATGTTGAATGTACATTAGAGATAGTTCCAACAAGAAGATTATAATACAATGCTATTAGCAATGTTTGGTCTTATTAGAAAACCCTAGTGTAATCCACATAGGATAGAAAAAAAATGCACCTATTAATGGTGACAAATTAACCCCACTGAGGCTACTAAGAAGTAAACATGTATGCCACGAAACTAACTAGCTTACTTACCAAGAGGTAATGAGATGTCTAAAAATAAATCCTACAAATTTGGCAGTACTAGCTGAAAGGGACATTCTTTGTTGGAAACATAAGTGAAACAAAGTATCACAAAAGCTCATTCCAAAGACTATCTTGCAGAAGTTGGCAATGGAAGATCCTCACAGGATAGAAACGAATGTTTCAAAGTCTGTAGAATTTAAGGTTGTTCTAGCATACTGTGTGCCCACGCTACCAAATATAATTGACCTCTGGTGACTTAACAAGTGAAAGTATTGTTTCATTCAGTGAAAATATTTTTTTCAGTTACTGTTATCACCTTCAGGTTTCAGGTCTAGAAATTATATGTCATATTCTCTAATAGAGTCTTAAATCTTAACTTAAGGCTGGCTGTGGTGGTGTAAGCCTTTAATACAAGCACTCTGGTTCAGAAGCAGGTGTATTTCTGTGAGTTCCAGGACTTTCTGGGTGGGCCTAAAAATCAAGTTCCAAGACAACTAGGGCTATGTAGAAAGAAAAAAATATATGTATATATATATATATATGTAATCTCCTAATCACTTAATTATCTCTCATGTGATAGATAAAATAATCACATGGTACTGTATGTTTTAAGGCATAAGAAGGTAAAAAAGTGAGTGAAACAATGACTTAAGAAATGGTCCAGTGGTTAAGAGCACTTGCTGCCCTTACAGGGAACTAGAATTCGAATCCCTATTGAGTAGCTCATGGTGCTTGTAAGTCTAGTTCCAGGGTATCTGGCATCCTTTTATGGCCTGCATGGGCAGCATCTGTCCTCACGTGCACATACCCACCTGTCTCCACACATATACATAATTAAAATTTAAACCAAAACTTTAAAGGTATGAATAGAGAAGAGAATGAGTAATATAGAGGGGGGAAATGGGTATGGGGTGGGGATGGGGAAAGGGAAGTGGGTAATCCTGGGCCTGATGTAATAGTTAACTAAGCCTTGGGAAGACTACCTAAATTTATAGGCCTTAGTCTTTTTAACCATGTGGATAATAATACACAGCATTCAGAGTTGCTGTGAAATTATAATGTACCGGTGTGCTTTAAAATACTCCTTTGTAAGTAGTAAAAAGTTAGGCACCAGTTCTTGTCAGCATTGTTATGCTCCCAGCCTGGGCTCTGGAGTGCTTGAGCTTAAAGGCAAGCTCTTCTACTTACAAGTGACCCTGAGAAACCCATTCCACTTTTCCGTGGTTCAAGTCCCTCATATCCAAAATAGGGAAAGTTAGCAGGATTGTCCTAAGAGTTAATGCAAAATTTAGTATGGTTCCTGCAAATAGAAAATAATTCCTGGACATTTGCTGATATCATTCCTGCTGTTTTAAAAAAGCAAGGATCTGAAAGTGCCTAGAAAATCAGAAGTATGACTGTTGAGGAGAAAGAATCTGTAGAATTTTTGTTGGAGGGAGAAAATGATAAACAGCAGCTCTGCTGTAGATCTGCTTGGCTACCCTTTAACAACATCAAGTGAGCATTCAGAGTATGGACTGGGTACTTATGTTTAAAACATTACTTGTAGATCATACTGTTGTCCCACTCAGAAGAGGGCCTTAGAGCCTCTAGGCTAGAGATCCTGGCTTGCCTAAATTCAAATATGTAGTTAGCTGGAGCTCTGGGGATGGGAGACACTGTGTAACTCCTGGCACACTGTCTTTGCTCCTGCGCAGTCACCACCCTGAAACTGGCTCTGTAAACTGACAGTGATGATGGGCCAATCACTGAAATGGAAACGTTCGAGTCTTTGGTTATTTTATCATTTTTCTTTACTATTTTAAGGCTATGTATTATTTTGAGGCTATGTTTTTTTATTTCATTTATCATTCTAAGGCTATGCATCCCTCCCTTTGTATTAAGGCAAAAACACATCACAGAGGAAAACTTGTTAGTGGTGATTTTGCTCTTCACTGATGAATCAAAGGTGCTGAGCTGAGAAATAAAATAGGTGAGCATTTTAGGTCATGGATTTATACCTCCGACATTAAGGAATCTGGCCTTGTCAGAGAGGTCAGACAGTGACTGTCCATACAGGCTTATCATTGCTGGCACTGTTTCCATGGTACCTGTTGAAGAACATGGCAGTTTAAAAGTTATACACTATGAAAAATATTTACTTTGTTGCTAAAAGCATAAAAGCCCAGAAGGCATCATCTGCCAAAGCAACACCGGACCTATAATTCTGCACCAACCACTGTCCATCTGTGCAAATGGTTTTGCTGTTCTTGTTCTTAACAGAGGTAGCCAGTGAAAGGTCAAACCCCTTTTAACCCACATTCATAAAAATCCAGTGATTAGCCGAGATGGTCAGCCAGATGGTCAAAGTCTGAACCTTTTCTTAGTTTTAGCTCACAGGCAAATTCACTGTTTTGGTAGCTGGTTGCAAATTGCATAGGATTTTTCTATTGGTTATCTACATCTCAATATGCATTTAAATAGATTTTCTAAATATCTCCAGCCAAGCATGTGCTACTGCACAACTATAGTCCTAGAACTCAGGCAGCTGAGGCTGGAGGGTCACAATGTGAAGACTAAGTCACTTTGAACTACATAGTGAGAAGAAATCAAGTGTGTAAATTCCCAAGGACTGACAGAGAAGAGTATGTTAGTGATTCAGCTGAACTATAGGATAAAAATGTTTAAGAAAGGAGGAAAATATCAAAATTATGAAGGCCAGACTAGTTCAAATTCCTGTGATAGGAACCATACCATAATTAATTTTTGTAGTCTAGTTAGTAGGTTGAATTAGATGGGTATGTGGTAATGTGTACATTTGCATGGGCATGCGCATGTATGCATGTGGGTGTATGTGTGCATATGGGTGTATGTATGCATGTGGGTGCATGTTTGCATTTGGGTGTGTGTGTACATGTGAGTCTATGTGTACATGTGTGTGAAGATCAAAAGTCAATGTCAGGCACCTATTGAGATAACTCTTCATCTTTATGTTTATGTTTGTTTACCTTTAACTTTAAAATATTTTTTCCAATATAGCGTTTTTCTGTGTAGTTTTGGAGCCTGCTCTGCCACTTGCTCTATAGATCAGGCTGGCCTTGAACTCACAGAAATCCGCCTGCCTCTGCCTCCCAAGTGCTGGGTTTAAAGGCATGCACCACCACCACCCAGCCAAAATATTTTTTTATTATTTAAAAATATCATACATGTATATATTTATTACTCTGTGTGTGCCTGTGTTTATGTATGAGTGCAGGTACAGATGCAATACATTATGTATGTGTAGGTCAGAAGACAACTTTTGGGAGTTGGTTCTCCTATCACGTAGGTTGTAGGGATCAAACTCAGGTATTTGTCTTGGCAGCAAGTGACTGCCCACTGAACCATCTCAACAGCAGCCCCTCCCTCCCTTTATTCTTCTTGTTTTTTATAGCCTGGATAGAACTCTTTGATTCATGCTGGTTGGCCAGTGATCTCCATAAATCCTCCAGCTCCTCCAATACTAGAGTGACACCTTGCCCAGGTTTCTATTTAAAGTGTTGGTACCAGGAATCCAAACTCAGGTCCTCATTCTTGCACAGATGGCACTATCCTGTGTCATTGTCCCAGCTCCATCAAGTTAGTCCTTTTATCAAGAATATCAGGAGAGTTTGTTACAGTTGTAATAGTAGCAGAAATTTGGATACAGGAAAGGTCTAAAGGAAGCTAAATGGAAATAGCCTCCTGCCTATAGGTTTAGTTTTGCTAACTCTTGTTCTAAATGAATAATGCAAAAGGGAACTTCTAATAAAACTTATTTTATAGGATTTATTATATTTAATAATATATAATAATTAAATATAGTTCTGGGTAATTGCTGGTAGTGATACAATATTGTTATTTTATCCATAATTTAACTGATATGGAATAAGACAGTTACTTGGAAAAAACTCAATCATTCTATGATATTTCTCTTAGATCTGGAGGATGGCCCAAAGCAGGCTATGGTTAGCGATCGGACAGAAGCCTTTACTACTGCCAGAAATTTATTGGCCTCTGGAGCTGATGCTATTGAAAGAATTATGTCTTCATACAAAGAGGTATTTGAATTTATTACAAATTTGCTTAAAACATGAAAGCATCTGAAAAATAAAGCAAAGTGTGAATTATAAAGTATACATAGCATTTTAGAAAGTTTTTTTTCCTCTCTCTCTCCTCAAAACTGCCAAGTGTATAATTGAGGTCAAGGATGGCAACTCTGAAGTGAGGTGTTCAGTTATTTCTGTTTACAAGCATGATTTTACTTGCTTTTAAATGAGGAGAACAAAAAAGAATCGCTCTTGTGTGGCCCTGCCTAATTTACATTCAGACTTCATCATTTACAAATCACATGATCTCAAGCCTCTCATCTGTCTGGATCCCTGTTCCCTTGTAAACTGGGGTGATGACAGCAAGGATTTTACAGGGGGTTAGAAATTCATCATGTGGGACACTTAGGCTTTTCCATGCCCGATAGTCATTAGCTAATAATACATCTTCACAGCTTGCAAACTTTGCTCATCCTTCGTTGATGAAGTCTCACCAGGAATAATAAAACCTGGTGATTCCACTTCTACTAGTGGTCTCTGAATCCCCTGGGTGGTCTTCTCTGTCTCTACCACTTTGCTACAATATGGTTCTGCCCCTTGTACCTAACTCTGAGCAGTCTCATCTTGGGGACTGTCATGCTCGCCTTTGTACTCCTAGCATTCATCCCAATACTTAGGTATGTGACTAATAAGAATTTTTCAAAAACAACAGGCAAAACAACAACAACAAAAAGACCTGTAGGTACCACTGGGTTATGATTAAAAAGACTATTCAATTCAGACATTTCTAAGACTCTATCAATTAATCTTGTAGATCATAAGGCTCAAGTACCATTGCAAACTTATCTCCTAATTTAATTAAAGTGCAGTGTTTGACACAGCTTCAAAGGTTCTGAGTTTCTTATAGAACTGATTTATTGATTTGGATTTTTTCCATAATAAAACCAATAGTCCAGTATCACTTATCAAAACTACTCAACTTTTAAAAATCCAAACAGTAATTTTAACAATCTGGAGACCTAGGTTGGGGGATAGCTTTTGTTTCATGTAGTTCACTTTACTATTAAGCAGTAAGATTTTTACTATTGAAATTAAATGATGCCAAACGTGGTGGCGCATGACTTTAATCCCAGCACTTGAGATGCAGAGGCAGGCGGATCGCCTGGGAGTTCTTGCCAGCCTGATCTATAGAGTGAGTTTCAGGACAGCCAGGGCTACACAACAAAACCCTGTCTTGAGGGGTGAAAAAGGCAATAAATAAATATGACCAAAAATGCCCATCTTATATTAAAATGTGCTAAGTCACAGAAGGCTCATCACATTTAACCATTCTAGATTATATCCAGTGATAAAAATGACTTCTTTTGTCATCATTGACTTTGTTTCATAAAAGTACATTGTGCCACTGGGAGATGACAGGAGTAATCATGCCTTCTTCACGAGCTGCAGAGGAGCAAAGGCCCCTTCTACCCAGGATTCTTCATTCCACAACAAAGCAGTGGTGATCCAAAGCACGTACCTTCTGGCATACTCTTAGTTTTTATAGACATTCCCTTCCCATTCCAGTGTCCATCCCAGTCTACTTTCCCATTGTTTCCTCCTCTTTTATTTTTTCTAAATATTTCTGTTATTTTAAGGTTTTTTTCCTATGCTGATACTTATATTTGCCCAATTAGCTGCTTGGTTTATGCCAACCTGATACAAAGCTGAATAGTACATATCTGGAAAGATGGAAACTTAATTGAAACAATGTCTCCAGTAAGACTGGGCTGTAAGCGGGTCTGTGGGGGTGTTGTAGCAGTTGTGGGAAGGCCTCTGCCACTGCGGGTGAGTAGTGCCACCTGCCACTTTGAGTAGGGGGTCCTGAGTTGATAAGAAAGTGAGTTTAGCATGCCAGGGGAGCAAGCCTGTAAGCAGCCCTCCTCCATGGGTCCAGTCACTGCTTCGGTCCCTTCCTGCAGCTTCCTGCCTCAAGTTCCTGCCCTGACTTCCCTCAGTGACAGAGTGTGACCTAGCAGCTGTAAGGTGAAATAAACCCTCTCTTCCGCAAGTCGCTTTTGGTCATGGTGTTTAACCACAGCAGTAGGAATCCTAACTAGGACACAAAAAATTCTTTTAAATCTGTATTTTGCTAAATCATCTCTCTGTCTCTGCTTGAGAGCTCAAGACTTCCTTCCAGATACATTTTCAAAGTTATTCGTTATATAGCTATAACATTAGCCTACATCAATAAATGGCCAATTTACAAGCCCTCTCTCTCCAGTAGAAGGCCTGTGACACTAACACCTATTCATTACAGCTTAAATTTTACACACAAAGCTCTCAGCCATCTGCCAGCATCCGTGTGTTAATCTACATATGAGGACGGTTGGTTACGAGACATCTTTTGTGACATGCATGCTTATTGGTGTCGGTTTCCCAGTTCCTTTGCTGAGACAAACGATACGGATAAGACAAGTCACCTTTCACAGTCCCCTGATAGCAAGCTGTTCTGGTATAATAGAGAAACAGCAGGAGCTTACCCTAGATGGACAGCTGGCAGAACAAGAGCAAAGTCTCTTTCTATGGAGCTTTGTGGACTAGAGCAGAAATATATTTCACCTTACTTCATAATCTTTTCTAGAAAAAAAAATACCATGCCTTTATACTTTTCCTTGACCATTGAAGCCATATTTGCATTGACAAGAAGCTGGGTTGTGGGGTTTATATGATGAAGGTCCCGAAGCTTCCCACTGGGCTCACTTTCACAATGTAGACCTCTAGCACAGATACTCCTTTGCTCACACAGGAACTCTGACAGTATTTGGCTTAGAGGCATTCATTTATAAATAAGGCAAAAAGTACTTTTCTCCTGTTTAACATATTCATATTCACATGTGCATAAACACACCTTCCTATTGATCCTGCTTATATTTAGGGAAGCTGCTTTGGAGTATGTTTGGAGATAATACAAAAATGACTGAATGAGCTGCTTGCTTTTAACTAATAAATAGAGTTAGAGTCAATGTCATTATATTTGATTTGAATTTTTAATACATATATATATATTTATGGAGGCGTGAACCCAGGGATTCATGTACATTAGACAAGGGTTCCACCACTAAGGTACATATGCAGATTAATGACATATTTTAAACAGAGAAAGAAGAGTGATGATGATTGTAATACATGCTTTTAATACCAGTACTTAGGAGGCAGATCTCTGTAAGTATGAGGCCAGCCAGAGCTGCTGGCCAGTGAGATTCTGACTCAAAAACAAATATAAAGAAACATTGTTTAATTTAAGTGGGCAAAACAGAAATGTGACTAAAAGACCCTTATGACCCATTAATTATGAAAGGTTCTAATTTCCTTTTGAGCACTGAGGTAAATCAATATTTTTGTTTTACAACTCCAATGACATCTACACCAATATCTTCCTTTGTTGTCCCTAATAAGCTTTACTATTGTTTGCTTCAGTAATCAGATACAGTCTTTTTTCTGTCATATATAATCAAGTAGAATCTTTAGCAATAAATAAAAAGGTTTATATATATAAATTATACATTATTTATATAATTATATATATTTATATATACATATATTATAATTTTAAAGGTATCTGTCATGGCCATATTAATTCATTCTTTACATCTTGATTATAGATCACTGAACTAGCAGGCTATACTGCTAGAGTATACAATATGTTCTGGGTCTTTGATGAAGTGAAAAGAGGTATTTATAAGAGAAATGTCACTCAGGAGCCTGAAAAGCATGGCAAAAGAGGAGATGACATGGAACTACCCCTCAGTGACACCCTGGCCATTAAAGGTAACTACTTCAGGTGTTTTCACATTTCCCCTATAGCTGAGTGTCACTTTATAAAAAGAACTAAAGGTTTCTTCTCTAGGAATCAGGTTTTAATAGTTACAAGAAGCTAGAATTCAAATGACAAACATCATTTAAACAGCAATCTCTGATTAGTACTACAAATCATGATGTAAGAAGAAAATATGACATTTCTATTCAGGAAAATGTGCTCACATTGTGTTTAGAGGCAGCACATATGGCTCAAAGAGTTGCTCTTATAACTTGAACTAATAAATAGAATCAGTGCTAGTGCCATATTGTTCTTCATTATTCGGCGTTTCTATGCTGTGCTACATCCCCACTGTTCTGCGTTTCTAAATGTTTGTATTAAAATGTATCTCTTCTTAATTCCTTTCTTGGGACAGTGTATTTTTGGTGTTGTAGGAAATAGGGGAACAGAGTGACTCTAAATTATGTAGCTAGGTTATATCAGACAGAGTTTATGTCTGTGAGGATAAAGATAATGATATTTGATTATAAGATGATTTTCTCTGAAATATTTTCTAAATTAAAAATATAGATATTTAATTGACTTCACGTATATTTATTTTTCCTATGTGAATTATCTTTAAAATTGAATTTGTTCATTCTGTTGTATCATTCTGCAAGTTTATTAGCAGCAGCAGCTTGTGATAGCCCTTGTAACATAAACTATTCCTTGATTACAGGAACAGTTATTGATGTGGACCACGGAATCATATGTGAAAACGTGCCCATAATTACACCAGCAGGAGAAGTGGTGGCTTCCAGGCTAAACTTCAAAGTAAGATGATATCCAAGAACCTTCTGATTGTTGGGCCTCACACTAATAGAAAACAACTCAGAATCCATGTACCTTATGTTAAATACTTGGAGAGGAGCGTATGCAAAGGGGGAAATCAAAAAGGTACGCACAGAGGCTCAGTTGCAGAAGCAGTCACTTCCTCCCAAAGCAGGGAGAAAAGAGAACTCTCATTTCCACTGCCTTAGTGCCAGGTTGAAAATCAAATTTCAGAACACCAAGAGCCATTCAGGGTAGCTTTGGGGAGCAAGAGGAAATATCAGAAATTAATACCTGGAAATGAATTTTAACTTTTTGTAAAAGTTGTTAAGAAATCTGTAAGTCTTTTTTATACTTTCTAAAAATAATACATTTTCCCAAAGGTAATTATCAAATTCAGTTTACTAAGGCACATTTTACAACCTTAATTTCGACTTTAAATAATCAGAAGATTCATGCATTCAACTTTAGTTTTTTTTTTTTTTTTTTTTTTTGGTTTTTACTAGACAGGGTTTCTCTGTATTGTTTCAGAGGCTATCGGTCCAGCCTGGCCTCGAACTCACAGAGATCCGCCTGCCTCTGCCTCCCGAGTGCTGGGATTAAAGGCGTGCGCCACCACCGCCCGGCTCAACTTTAGTTTTTAATTCTGTTGAAAATAATTGATTTAATGTTCCATATACTAATTACAAAACTAAAGTACAAAAGCATGTTGTAGGTCCATGGCCCTGGTTTCACAACATTGTGAAGTTTAAACATACATTTTAGACTAAGTGTAAAATAGCAAACATACTGTTTTAGATACTTGATTCATCCTGTCAGTACACTGACAACTTAAAAAGAGGAAATATTTAGTTGGTTCCTGGTTTCAGGGGATTTCTTTGGGGTTGAGCTGTCTCACTGCTTTGGGCCTGAGAAATAGCTGAACATCTGCCAGGAATGTATAGCAAAGGAGTCTTTACTGCAAGCTAGATAGCAAGCAAAGAAAGGGAATGAAAAAAGGATTAGGCCAAGGAAGAGTCCAAGGACACATGGTCCCAATGACCTTCTTCCTCCAGGTAGGAATCATGTCCAAGGCTTTCCACTGCCTTCCAAAAGTTGGAGACTCAGTGATCAGCACATGATCCTATGGGAGGTATTTCATATTCAAACCATACCAACTAAAATGAAGGCAGTTGAACTATGTTTAAACAAAGGCATGATCAGACTTCATAATCAAATTATGAACATCGTAATAATGGTTTTGAAATAAATCCTAGCCTAGGCTTAATTATCAGAGATATATTTGCAATTGACGAAAGTCACTAAGTGTTGAAGAGAGATGATGCAATACACTGAACATAATCTTGTTAATAAATTGGAAAGAAATTGTTTGTACAGGATTTATTGTTCCATTATAAACCTATAGGATGGTTTTATTATTAGGATATGACATAAGCACCAATTAGCTACTCATTGCAAATATGGAATGTTTTATTATATATTAATACTTTAACAAATTTAGTCAGGGATAAAACTAAGTGGGTAGGGTGCTTGCCTGACATGAAAAGGTCTTGAGTTCAAACCTCACCCTGGAAAACAAAGAAGTGAAAGCAATCTGGAATTTTTAAATGGCTCTGTGTTTCTTTTTGCTTTGTCAGTATAGGTAATGTAACATTGGTTCTTGTTCCTCTAATTTCCAAATAAACAGGTGGCAAGGTCTGAATATTGCTGTGTTCTAACTATGCCACTGTTAGCCATCACACCCTGAAGAAAAACCCAGAGTTCAGTCTCCTGTAGAAAGTAATTAATAACCCAGTGGAAGACTCTTACAGACTGTTAGGATACTATGAAGATGTATGTCGTTACATTTGTTATTATATTTGCCTCTGGAAGTTGTATTTCAATTCTAGTCTCCCTAGAATAGGATAAAAAGTCATGCTTCAGTATTGATTGGGAAATACACACTTTTTAAGAAAATTGATTTTCATCCTTTTGTTGGTCTTCAAACTTAAAATTTTGACTTAACAAAACAAAACAAAACAAAAAAACACCAAAAACCCAAAATGTGAGTATTTACTCAGTATTTCCTGGGAAATTGTGCTAAGGAAATATCAATATGAAAAGGTTTTCCAGCTTTTTTTCAAGTGTTAAATTTCTAAAAACTGATAGAAATTGGCCCTTTTAAGACATTTCCCTCTTGATTATATGCTTTTGTAGCATTCAGACACTAAAGTACAATTAAGGACCCAGCTGGCTCCTTGGATAACTGTGCTTTCTAGAGTATTCAGTTTTCAGTGGCATTTGGGTTTATATAAATTTAATAAAATAGTAATATAAATAAAATAAAATTGAATCTATTTTTAATCTAGGCTTTATGGATCCTCCTCCTCCCTGTGTAGCTCATTTCTCTACATGTGAGTAGATCTGATCACAGTATCTCAATTGAAGTGTTGAAAAGCCAGTGTTCATTCCAAGAAGATCCATTGCAATTAGTGATTTTATGATACTTTTGGCTTCAGAGACTAGTCAAAGCCAACCTTCATGTTCTAATCCTGATACATTTTCTTTGCTTTCTTTACCATCCAAGACTGTCGTGTGATTGAATTTTTTAAATCACCTTTAAATGCTACCAAATGAAATAATTACTAAATATTGATTTTATTTCTGACTTTAGGTAGAAGAAGGGATGCACCTTTTGATTACTGGTCCCAACGGCTGTGGGAAAAGCTCTCTCTTCAGGATCTTAAGTGGGCTATGGCCTGTGTATGAAGGCGTCCTCTATAAACCACCTCCCCAGCACATGTTCTATATTCCGCAGAGGTAAGACATTCTTCATAGCAAATGAAGATGGTTGCTTTGGCTCCTGGATTGTGTTCATCCCTCGGGCTCTTTGGTTTATGCTCATTCAAGGATATTTTCACTGGGAGAAGCTACTGAGTAAATAGGAATGAGTTCACTTGTCCACAGAGTTTTTTTACTGTTTTGACTATAATAGATTCTGGATCAGTGCCATTTCTTGTAGTTTTCATGCTTGACACGATTCTAAGAATATTCAAAGGCTTCAGATGTCTTAGCAAAGAATAAATGGATCCGAAGAATAATTTGATGTCAGATTATCTTCTTACAGATAAAAATATAGTGCTTGGGTTCTGTTCAGGTCTTTCCATCATGCTACATATACTCATGTGTCCTAAAATTCTCCATTCAGGCCTAAGAGTCTCCTTAAAATCTTTATTGTGATTATGATAGATAGATATTACCTTATTTAAAAATTATTTTAAGAATAAGATAAACATGGAAAATACCAATTTTTGCCCAAATTTTTAATCATCCACCTTCATAACAAACCAGAAGTATCTAAACTCAAAGTTGTATACTTGGGAATTTGAAGTTTTTATTATGGGAGAGAGAAAATCAGCTATAAAGAAAGAAAAGCTTCTGTGGCCCCGTGATTTCTTCAAGTATCACCCAAGTTCAATAGACATTGCATTATAAGCATTCCCTCTGTTGTCACGTGGGTTAAGCAGGCATGACACGGTGCTCCCTCTGGAACAGAGGACTTCACTGAGGCTTGTGACAGAGCATCTAGGATAGAAGTGTAGGGCTGGAGCACATGTGCATGTCACATTGAGGCCAAGCAGTATCACACACTTTAGTCTCCTCTTCTTTGCTGGTAAATCCTGACATTTGGTCTGAGTTTTAGGCCATAAGCAGCAATTAGGGCCTGTAAATTTATTTTCTTTCAAATAAGACTCAGGGTGGTAACAGCAGGATGCTGTCTGGTGTATAGGAAGGTAAACAAATGTGTTAGCTGAAAACATTAAATACGAGCAATGCTGTTGGTACCCGACTTTAAAACTTATCAAATGACCTGTGACATCATAAACATTTGCTTTTCTGTCCTTTGGGGAACCTCAGCTTTACTGCCTCAGTTTAAGTTTTATAAACGAATGTAGTAAGTAGCATTATTTAAATGTTGTACTTAAGTCATAAGGCATAGAGCCATGAGAAACGTGGTCTATCAAGAAACGAATTTTTGATGAAAATGAAAGTGTATAAATAAAGTTTACATTTTACCCATTAGATATTTCATGTATTGTATTGTATGGAGGAAACACATCCTGAGTATACATTTGATATAGTGAAAATAGTTTCCCAGCAATGGACAAGTTTATGAAAGTGACTAAATTAACCTTTACCCTCAGAGTGAACTAACCACAATGTTTTACAATAAACAGAAATCATTAGGAAATTTTTTCTTATGAAATATATTTTTGCCTGAGAAAAACTGTCAACTCCAACCTAGTTAAAGAGAAAAATAAGCAAATGTGGTCTATATTTTAATTTATAAATGAGTATTGTTTTAAGTTAGTTAACCTTAGTTATATGTATGTAGAGGCATAGGGAATCATATTTACACTTAAATTTTTTGTACAGTCATGTTCCTTCCACTTTTGTTTAATCTTTACTTAAAACACAAATGTAAACTAAGGAAGTCTAATTGTAGCATTTATTTCTTGTATTCTAAAAGCCAGTGATTTTTTTCAAGTTTTGGAAAGATCACAGAAGATTTTATTATGTAAAAGAAAATAATAGTATGACCTCTTTTAAAATATGTGTCAGCAAATGGACTTAATCATCACATACCTGACAGCTATGATTAATTTTTTTCAGTACTCACTAGCAATGGAATGTAAGCTAACAACTAGTTTGGGAGAAAAATCAACACAAAATTCATACCTAAATATGGATTCTAAGTCATTAAGCAGATTCTACAGTTAATCACTGTGATTGAAGTATTTCTTCTTAGAGGATGAATCTCTTTATGCAGTAAAAAAATGCAAAAAAAATGCTACTTTTGTTGGTGAAAATGGAGTAGGTTTTGTGACAGTGGGTTTCTTATGTCATGTAGTGAACAAAAGAAAACTACTCGGGGAATAGCACGCACTTGCTTTTGACCAAGCCTTCACACACAGAGACCCAAACAAAAATGCTACTCTGGCTCGCTTTGTAAATTGGGAAACATGAATTCCTGAGAAATTGTGAAATCACCCCAGCATTCTCCCAGTTGGTGTCTTCTAATGCTTTAGCAATGCTAATAATAAGAGCCAGATCTTTGGAGAACGGGGCCTTAGTACAAGATGACAAGGCTGTTCTGTATAAACCGAGTCCAAACCATTTTCCCTCACCCTGTCTTCATCAATGACAGAGTATAAGAACTGGAGCATCTGTATGATTTAGTACAGAGTGTTTCATCTGTAAAGGACTTTAGCCACTTTCCTTCTGTGGAATGGTGAATGGCGAGATGCTGGGGCTTTGCTCAAGTAGTACCTGAAACCTATTCTGGCACTTTCCAACCCTGACCCAGTGTCCTGCACCGTATGACTGCACACCATAATCAGATGACTGATGCCCATCATCCCATGCTGGACCAGCTTTCCTGACTCTATAGAAGCATCTTCCACTTGGATGTATCTCCTGAATTATTTTGCCAACTCTTGGTGTGTTTTCTCTTCTTCCCAAGCCTCCAAAGACAGGCTTATGACCCTTTGCTCTTGCTTTCATTTCTTGACTAATTTGTGGCCTCTTACTCACTCAACCCTTTGTGAATTTTTGTCTACAGCAGTCACAGTCCCCAAAGCCAACTTTGTGAGTATTTAATTTATTTTTCTTGCTACTCAATGCACTATCAGCCATCAAAATGAGACATTGAGGTATGGGATTTGGGAGAGCCCATAGGAAAGGAAGGAGGGAAGGAAGAATGACAGGATGGTCACTTCGCATCCCTTTATGCTGCTTTAGTTAACACCCCCATGATGTTTGTGTATGTCACACTGGCTTCTGAGCAATTGCCTACAGTTGAGCACAACCCAGCATGGCATTACATTTTAAATATTCCTGTCTCACTATTCTTCTTTGAAAGAAATATCTCAGGAGGGACGTGCTAACGAAGAGCTTGCCACTCAAAACTGTATGCCCTTATACTATATCAAACAATCAGAGACAGATTAGACCCCCTACAGTTATCTATCGATATTTGCATAAATGTGTACAAATTCTGTTCATCTTTGACTCTGAGAAATAAGACATTGGGGAAATGAGAGAAAAATTGCACTCATAAAGAATGTATTAAGCCAAGTGGTGGTGGCGGTGGTGGTGGCGGTGGCGCACGCCTTTAGTCCCAGCACTCAGGAGGCAGAGGTAAGCGGATCTCTGAGTTCAAGGCCAGCCTGGCCTACAGAATGATTTCTAGGCCAGCCAGGGCTACATGGGAAAACCATCTCAAGAAATGAAAACTAAAAACAATGTAAAAGATAGAAAGGATTGTGCTTAATTAACCCTAACCCCCCCTGGGGTGGCTGGTGCTTAATTAACCAACCCCCCTGGGGTGGCTGGTGCTTGTGTTGAATCCATGGCTCCATGTATGCTGAGCGCACACTCTGCCAATGAGCTGTGCCCCAGTACAGAATGACTGACAGATTTCCTTTCTATTGGCAAATCTGCCCAGCATCTTACACTAGGAACCATCTGTCTGTTTTGTTACTTGCACTGGGTTTGTTGCCTAATCCTCTTTGTGATGGATAAATGTCTTAATTAACAGTTGTTGTTTTTTTTTTAAGGAAATTGCTGAAGTAGTGACAAAAGCTCAGTAGAGTTCTTGAGGCTAATTCCTTGCTTTATGAGTACTAGATGCAAAAAGTTGGATGGTGTAATTTTCATAATAGCAAATATCTCTTTTGAGTATCTCTCTGTTTGCTAAAAAAAAAATAAGAATATTAGGAATGATATTATGCATTCAGAACTCAAATCTTGAGCTTGCTGTGCATAAGAAAGCCTGATAACATGATTGGTTCAACCTGTGTATTTTTCAGTGATTGACAGTGAGTAGTCATGGATTGCCCCGCCTTCTTACTGTTTGGCCACACAGCTGGAGAAATGGCATATTAACAACTTTACACTCCCTGCCTTAGAGTTAAGAATGCTTTGAATTTTTATCAGTATTGTCCAGTTAAGCTATACAGCTTAAAACATTTTTTGACTCTGAGCACAAAGATAAAGATTATGATTTTCCATGCTCTCCTCTTCTTTCCTCCTTTGTCTCAAATATAGAATAACCAAAAACCAGAAAAAAATCTAACAAAAAATAAATTATATCAAAAAGAACTATCAAATAGCTCAATGTTAGCACAAGAAAATAAGAGCCTAAAGCAAAATTTTAAAATATCTAAGATGTTTTTCATAACTAATAACTATAAAAATATAATTATTGGGGAAGATTTGATCTCATATACTTTTACTATGACAGTTAATCATTTTTTAAATAAGTGCAGATGTAAGGTTTCACAGAAAAACAATTACAGTTTGTTGCTAAATTCTTTCCCAGGAGGAGCAAATTTTACTCCAGGCATATGTATTTCAGATTGTCTCTATTAGTATCTTGAAAACTGAGTAGGAAGTGAAGCATTACAAAGCTACAATTATTTTGCTTCATCAGTGAAAGGCCCTCTTAAGATAAATTCCTCTCTGTAAACCAGGGGAAATTAGCTGAGTTTGAAAAGTCTATAGAAATCAGAAGTATAATGAAGTTACATTTGTCCTGCTTTTCTAACAATGAAGGCATCAGCCAACCCTCGGTATTGTGAGTCCTCAGAAGCTCTGTAAACTACACCAGTGAACTACATGCTACCAAAGAAAAACTTCTACATAAAACTTGAAGTACCTTGTTAAAAAACCTGCAAGCAATTATCCAATGAGTGGGAATTATTTTGAATTGTCGTCTTTTTTACAAGATGTTTTTTCATTGCTGGGTTTCATTGCCGCACGACAGGCAATTGCTCCACCAATGAGCTACAACTCCACACTCCTTTATGTTTTATTTTCACTTTGAGACTGCAAGGGAAATGAACTTCTCATTTAAATGGTGATCACTGGAGTACCTTCCCTTGTGCCTATGTTATGGTAAACAATCTCACAACATTGCTTCGTTTAGCTGCTTCATTCTGCACTCGAGATAAATTGAATAAAGTAAGTGACTTCACAAACAAATAAGATCAAGCTCGGAGTTGAGTGACGGTACTGCAATAGTGAGAAAGGAGTCTCTCCCAAAACCACCTCTCTAAAGCCCGTTAACACAACCATTGCTGTATACTGTATAGCATAAAGTGTTGTATACTGAAACATGGGTGGAAATGACCACTTCATCAAATACTAGCTCTTTGTCAGGGTATACGGCAAGGCCTTTAGAGGCACTCATGGACAGGATGCATAGGTATCTTTTTATCATTGCATTCTGGACCGTGCTGTGTAATGGGACCACTTTTGCATTAGCATCTATGCTTTACACTAAGGTGGAAGGAGATCTGCACCTACTGATGTGTGTGAAGACGGGGCTGGCATGAATTTAAAGTCCCTAAACATTCCTTTACCTCAGGTTCGGGATGGTTACTAAGCACCTTTGTGACAGCTGCTTTACACCAGTGCCACTGTTACAATTTGTAGATGTGAATTTAAGATAGTTCCGCAGATGATTGCTTAAGGTGACATATGCAAGCAAATGAACATGGACTGTTCTTTGCCTCGACAGTTCCATTTACTGGTTTATACTCAATATGTATAATGCCCCAAAGTAGGGCACAGTGAGACATCCTTCAGGAGATGACTGAGTGAACCAAATGTGGCTTATAGCTACAATACAGCATCATAACAGTATTCAGCTCTAAAAAGATGAATATGGCACATTCTAAAACACACTTAGACCTGAGAACATTTTAACAATTGGGAGAAGTCAATCACAAAAGAGTATGTATTGCATGAGTCTGTGTATTTGGAATGTTCAGAATAGGCAAATTAATGGGGACAGGAAACACACTGGTTACAAAGAGCAGCCAGATGATAGTGATTGGTCCTGACCGTGGGGCTCCTGAAGATAGAAGCCAAGAAAAGTATTCTCAAGAAGGGGGTGATGGCCACCTGAATTTGTGGATGTGTTAAAAAAAAAAACTGAATTATAGACACTAAAGGCTGATATGAAATCTGAATCACATGCCAAGTTAAACCAAGATACTTGAGTGATTCTTGTATTTAAGATCTTTTATGTATGTGTGTAGTTGAAACACGAACATTTTTATTTCCATTAACAGTAAAAAACAAAACAATTACATTACAAAACAATTATGGACTATGAGCCCCTCAAAGAAACAGTTTGTAAATACTGTGAAAAAACAAGTGGACCTTTAGTCTGCAAAACATGTTTTGTATTTGGAGCCTTACTCCTCAGGTAAACACACAGAATTGCTGTGATTTTTTAAAATATTTTTTAAATGTCTATGAGTGTTTAGCATGCATGTACTTCCATGCACCAAATGAATGCCTGGTACCCATGGGAATCAGAAGAAGGTACTGGACCCACTGGAACTGACAGACAGTTGTGAGCTGCCATGTGGGTGCTGGGAACCGAATGTGGGTCCTCTGCAAAAGCAGCCGGAGCTTTTAGCTGCAGGGTCACAGCACCCAGCCCTTGCTGTCTGGACAAGACAGGCCCTTGGCTAGGATGGCCTGGTGGTCGTCACAGAGCCACTCCAATTGTGCGTGGCTTGCAGAGTCCCTGCCTGTGTTAGTTTCCACTGCTGCTGTTACAAGTCACCGAAATACTGGTCGTTTAAACCCACGGAGAGCCATTCTCTCGTAGTTTACGTCAGACCAGCCAAGACATCATCAGTTACACTGTGTGTGAAAAGCTGAAGGGGAAGGCTGGGGCGATGATGCTGTGGGTAAGAGCACTTGCTGTTGAAAACAAAGAGAAATCCACCCTATTGCCTACTTGACCTGACCGTTTGAAAGGCTGGCCGTCAGATATTACAGATGAGAGTATAGTTAGGAAACTGTTTTTAATCATTTTTAGAATTAATTCAAGCTATGCGGCCAATGTTACTTAATTCATTCCATCCCTAGCCTTTTCCTCCTTTCTTATGTGGTCATGTTATCTTTTTTTTTTTTTTTTTTTTTTTTTTTTTTGGTTTGGTTTTTTACGAGACAGGGTTTCTCTGTATTGTTTTGGAGGCTGTCAGTCCAGCCTGGCCTCGAACTCACAGAGATCCACCTGCCTCTGCCTCCCGAGTGCTGGGATTAAAGGCGTGTGCCACCACCGCCCGGCTTATCTTTTTGATAGTTATAAACAGTTCCTTGCTTTTCAGTTAATTTCAGTGAACTGTTTAATTAATTTTCTTCATCAAACAGCAACATTTTAACATGATTATAAAATCAAAGCTTGCATAGAAAAGATGCAGTGCTCACCTTTATTCCTAGCACTGGGAGGTAGAGGCAGGTAGATCTCTGTGAGTTAAAGCCAGCCTGGTCTACAAAAACAGTCTTCTAGGACAGTCATGGCTACTTAGCAAGACCCTGTCTCAGAGAGAAAGAGAAGGGAAGAAGAAAGAAAATATGTTTAGAGAGGGTGTGTTCTCTACTCTATTCATTTCACCTCCTTGGGTGACCTTTTCACAGGTTTCTGGCTTGCTTTTCCTGTTTCCTTCTCTAGGTGTAACCAAATGGTTATTTATGTCATCCCTCATTTTCTTTTCATAGAAGGTGACACACTATCTACTGGTGTTTCTCAACTGGGGATAGCTTTGTGACCAAGGAGCATTAATCCCATTGTGGAGACTTCTAGACAATTTTTAAAATCATGTTTGAGCAGATGCTGCTGACACCTAGTGGATACAGGCCAGGTATGCCACTAACCTTCCCTCAGCAGGATGCCATCGGCAAGGACAAGTCATCTATCAGTAAGCATGGCAGAGCTGCTGTGACATACTGATCTGGTGTACGCTTTCACATTTTCCTTTTCAGATGAATGATGAGCACAGAACTCACTGTATTACTTCATTGTATCTGCCTGGCCTCTCTAGTAGGTACACATAGAGGATCTCATTGTAGGTACACAGAGTTGATTCAAGGATTCTCTCTGCCTGCTCCTTTAACTTGGCCCTCAATATTGTAATGGCCCTGTAATGGGTAAGCTTAGTCAAGTTTTCCTTTTCAGCATTTTTAGGAGAATATCCTCTAAGAAAATTCCCAGAAGTAGGTCAAAAGGCAAACGACATGTCAACTTGCCAGATTTCCCCCAAGGAGGTTGAATTTTCACCATTGTATGAGAACTTCTGTTTTTTCCCATGGGCCTGTCAGCTGACTGAATTATCAAGCTGTTGAATTTTTTTTTTTTGCTAATCTGATAAACAAGAAAACCAATGTCATAGTAATTTACATTTTCTTATTAATAATAGTGTTTGGTTGTCTACATTTCTGTCAACACTCCAAGTTTTAGTTTAATGTGAATAATTTTAGATGTACAGAAACAATCTTTATCAAATATGGTTGTATTGGTAAGAGTTTTCTAGATGAATAGAACTGACAAAATGAGAATAGATAGACAGAGAGATAAATGTTGATTTAATTAAGAAAAATATATAACGAGGATTTATTAGAGTGGCTCCCAGGCTGAGGTCCAGCTAGTCCAACAATGGCTGTCTACCAATGGAAAGTCCAAGAATCCAGCTGTTGTTCAATCTCCAAGCCTGGATGTCTCTTCTGGTCTTCAGTATATGACAGACTCCCAAAGAGGCTCTAATAACAGTGAAGGAGTGAACTTGCTAGTGAAAAGTGACATCAAGTAGGCAAAGAGAGAATGCTTCCGTGTCCTATATTAAGGCTGTCACCAGAAGGTGTGGCCCAGGTTAAAGGTGGAATCAAAAGATTGGGATTGAAAGTGGGTCTTCCCACTTCAAATGATTTAACTAAGAAAAATAGCTTCACTGGTCTACCCAGACACTTGGGTTTTAGTGAGCTCCAGATTTGCAAACAAGAGTAAGCACCAAATAGTAAACTAGCAAAATATATTTTTGTTGCAGAAAATATCAAATGGTTTCTTATAAAAAAAACTTTTCTGTATGTGTATCTCAGTATTTTTTTCATAAGCCAGGTATTACTTTGAAGTCTCTCCAAGACACATAATATAATCCTATAAATTGAGGCTTTAAAGTCTGCAGTGCTCCAGCCAGCAGGACGTCATCATGGGTAAGCTAACACACCTTTGCACCAGGACTCACGTGTGCTTGGTATTTTATAGGCCATACATGTCTCTTGGAAGTCTACGTGATCAAGTCATTTATCCCGATTCAGTGGATGACATGCATGAAAAAGGTTATACTGACCAAGACCTAGAAGGCATTCTGCACAGTGTCCACCTCTACCACATAGTGCAAAGAGAAGGAGGTAGAGAATGTCGTGTTTTTTTTTTTAAGTGTGCTTTAACTTTATTTACAAAGCTGGTTTGGGAGGGTGATGGTGTGCACCGGTAATCTCAATGCCTGGGGCATGGAGGATTAAGAGCTCAAAGTCACCCTCCCCTAGGCACCAAGTTTGGAACTAACCTGGGTTACGTCAAACCTTAGTCTGAAAAAAAATCAATTAAATAAACAAACTTAGGTTTGGTACTAGTTACTAAATACCCAAGAGAAACAGCCTATGGGATGGCTGTCCTCTTGTGCTGAAGGTTTCCAGGGTGTCATTTGGTGGAAGTGTCACTTGGTCCCCTCACCTGGGAAAGCTTCTGGCTTTCCGCTCCTCCCCTTTGTCCTTCCTGAGTTGCATACCAGGTCTTCTGTATCAGTCAGTCCCCTCTGGAAGTGCTCTCACTGAGACACATAGGTGTGCTACACAATGGGTGACTCTAATGCTAGTCAAGGTGACAATAGCGATGATTGTCCTAGTATGTATGAAGTTTGCAATTTCCGAATTTATGATATTTATCAGACCATAAACATGTAAGTAGAGATTTCTTCTTTTTTCATTATAGATATCCTGGTTTTGCCTGTCTTGTGATTAATATGGCACCCTACACTTTTACCAGTCACCATAATATCACATTTAGCACTCAAAGACCTTGATATTTAAATGTATAAGTATTCCTTAGGTCACAGTCATTCTAGATGTATGTAAAGTAGTCAATTATTTGCTTGCTGAACTCTCTCAACTTACAGTAAATATAATTTTGGAAAGTGGATCTCACACAACTTTTTTTGTTGTTGTTGTTGTTTTCAGTCCCACAAATAATAGGCAAGAAATAAGAGATTAAATAGTATGTAAAACTTCTTTGTAGATTTCTTTAGAATAAGACATATATGAAAGAGTGGGAATATGTATACATATGAGCTTTCTATTCAACTATTTTTTTTTTTTTGGTTTTACGAGACAGGGTTTCTCTGTATTGTTTTGGAGGCTATCGGTCCAGCCCGGCCTCGAACTCACAGAGATCTGCCTGCCTCTGTCTCCTGAGTGCTGGGATTAAAGGCTTAAAGGCATGCACCACCACCGCCCGGCTCAACTATTTCTTAAAAGTTATTCTTTCAACTATTTTGATAAGTCCTGTGATTTAATTGCCAAAAAATTACTTAATAAGCAAGCCAGAATTCTATGCTGCATTGTGCATGCATGGATTTGATGCTCTTTTATCCCAACCTAATTACGTTATTCTGAAGAAAGAGCCAGTATTGTAAGCATGATAAGCATGAGTTTTCTGGCCCAGCAGGGTCCTGCCACCCGAGAGCCCCAAATAAACACACAGACACTAAAATAATTATGAAACTGTTGGCTGGTGACTTGGGCTTCTTATTGACTGTCTTAATTATTAACCCATTTCTATTAATCTAAGTATTTCCACGTGGTCTTATCTCACCGGGAAAGGGTCCAGACCTCTCCTTTGTGGTCTCACATGGTGTCTGCTAAGCATCTCCACAGAGAAGAGAGAGAGCTATTTCCTGTTTGTCCCTACTTATATACTGATTCTGCCCATCTATATCACTTCCTGTCTGTCAGGCCAGACCTCCAGACCTCTATGGTTAGCTAATGGCAAGTTTCTGCCCATATATGTCACTTCCTGTCTGGCTAATCAATCAGAGTTTTATTCACTAACTAATAAGAAAAACATATATGCAGAGAACATTCCCCATCACAGTATGTCCTTGAGAAAATGGACTTTGGACTTAGAGTAAAAGAATCAAATCCTAGTTAGCATTGCTCTCTGTCTTCAATGGTAAAATGGTTATACAATTTTTTTTCTTTTTTCAAGGTGTCTGTGAAAACCAAATAAAACTATATGTGTAATATTACTGTGGTGGCACATGTATAACGAGCAAACATGAATAACAACCTAATCCCTCCAAAACGTAAATGAAGCAGGCAAAACAGATAAAAATCTATTTCTATTTATGATGACTACTACCTGAGGAAAACAGATTTTTCCTTCATTGTCAGGTGGTCAATTCCTTCCCAGTTTCAAAATACTTTGGCAGTATAAATTTTACATATTATTGGCAAACTAATTAAGTTGGGAATTCCATGATTTAAATAGAAATTTAAAATAAACACAAAATATTCTAGTATTTTCCAGAAGTCAGGAAGTTCTAGAACTATTTTTAAGTTCCAAACCTAGAGTTTTATACCCCCTTGCCTTGGACACATGTTTGGTCTTTTTTCCCATAAATAAAAGAAAAGGAGTCTCTGGATCTTAATAATATAACAGGAACATTTTTGGTTTATTATATGCTGCATTGAACATACCATGTTCAAGCAAGTACATCTTGTTCCACTTAACGATGATGGAAGTTCACTGATGCATTGCTATCTCCATTGCACAGATTAAATTCAGGGCAGTTACTTTGCATTAATTCCCATAACAGCTGGAAGAACAGAATTCGAACCAGATTTAACTTTAGAAGACAATGGTCCACACTAGGCATGGCCTGTGTTATGTTGTCATACAGCATACAGCACACTGTCCCTTAGTTTTTTAGACATAAGAACTATTATTCAATTGTACACTAATATGTCTTTCCTAAGAAACTAGCTTTATTTAACTTCTAAACATAGAGCATCTAAGGACAGTGGTTCTCAACCTTCCTAATGCTGTGACTGTCTAATAAAGTTCCATATGTGGTGACCCCCCCAACCATAAAATTATTTCCATTGCTACTTCATAACCTGTAATTTTGCTACTGCTATGAATTGTAATATAAATATCTGATATGCAGGATGTCTAATAGACAGCCCCAATGGGTCATGGCCCACAGGTTGAGAACTCCTAAGCAATACAGGAAAATACTTCCACTGACTAGTGTACAACTTCCCATTGGAATTATTTAGATTAGCTAATTCTTTGCTTAGCAAAGAATGGAGGCAAGACCTACACTTCATCCCCATAAACAGGTTCCAGGGTAGAAAAGAGTAAAATGGAGACAAACAGAAATAAATGAGAAGTTTATACATCTTCAGGAAGCAGGGAAATGATTTTCTTCTTAGCTGTCTTAGTCTCTGTGAGTGAGTACCAGGCATTATGGCTGTTGTTGCCAAGGATGTTGATGGAGCCCTCTGGATTCAGTAGAACAAAAGGTACAATTTAATAAAATATGTTAAAATTACCTTTCCCTTTGACTGAAAATCTTTTCTCTCAAGCCTTGTTTCTCAGCTCAGGGAACAAGTCATTCTCACCAGAGCATTCCTTCACAGCGCTGCAATCTAAATCTCTTCCTCAAGCCATCACTTGCATTTCATACGTGCCATAAGGTTTAGTCATGTAAAAGTATTATTTCAACAGTTCTTCCTAGAGCTAGAATATTGAGGGTTTTTGTAATATGATCTTATGAGGGTCTATTTTTAAATAATTTCTAGAAGTTTACTCAAGAAAATGAACAGTGATCCCTCTGAAGACACAGACTTGATGTTGTCAATGGGAAATAATATAAAGTCTTGCACTCTAGATGCTACTCTGTTGGTTGTTTTTCAAAGATTCCTTCCTACTTTTGTGTGTGTACATTGTGAGGTAAGGGTACATGAATACAGGTGCCTGCGGAGCCAGAAGGGAGTGTTGGATCCCTCGGAGCCGAGGTGGTTGTGAGCCTTGTGAGCCACTTGACATGGGTGCTAGGATTCAAACTCGGGTCCTCTGCAAGAGCAGTGCATGCCCCTAACCACAGAGTCATCTCTCTGGCCCCAGTGTTACATTTTCTTCTCTCTCATTTCTCTACCTCCCAACTCCTCCTAGATTACTCCCCACCCTGCATTATTTTATATGTTACTTCTATTGTATTTCCAAGTTTTGTAATCGCGAACACTTTATGATATATTCTTAGAATAGTCTTTCCACCCTTGCTTTCTCTAATTATTATCTTCCCATGTGGTTTAGTTTCTTATTTACAACTTCAGGCTTTTTTCTGAGAGCATCAGAGCATAGTGCAGGCTGGCCCCCAGCTGCTGGCCCTCTTGTCCTTGTTCGTGTACTGGGACTATAGGCAAGTTTCACTGTGCGTGGTATAAGTTTACACTTTCTGAAACTTGTAGTAAACTTTATAATAATTCCTAAAAGAGTAAAACATTTTTTAAGAAAAGATGAATTCTGATTTAACAATAACACACATTATTCTGTCAAAGATTCTGACCTTTTGCATACTAAAAGATGAATCCACATTCTTCCTTTTGATTAGCAAAAGAAGTAAGAATTGATCTGGTAATTTGTTTCTTCGGGCACCCAGAGATGAGGGCTCTACTTCTTCCTTATGACCTATGATCAAGTTTATTTAGAAATTTTAATAACGATGTCAGGCGGCTGAGGGAGGGTGATGGGTGCCTTCAGTGTGGCCATTCTCCAAGGGGGTAATTAAACCCTAAACACTGATGATGTGGAAATGTTGCCTTCAGTATCTGTCAAGGTTGGGCAGTCTTTTTCTTCTCTGAAAATTGAAAGTAGAACTTGGCTTTGCTCTTACATAGTCCGTCCCAATTCATTACGCAAGATAGTCATTAAAAATTCAAATATTACAAATGTGTTAACTTGCAAAATAAGACTCTTATAATTACACTCCCAGATGTGTGTCTAGTATGTGTGTGCAAATTTCCCAAAGCACGGCCATAATATATGACATTCTGAAATTTCGGATTTATTTAAATTTTTCTGGTATTATTTTCATAAGATATGAAAAATAGTTTTCTTGTATATCCCTTAACCTTAAAAGTAGAAGCCTGCATTGTAAATTGATGTCAAGCTATCAGTAATTAAGATGTTTTAACAGACGGCATAGACTGTAAAACATTAAATAAACCTAAATATAGGCCCTAGCTTTAATAGGTAACTATAAACTTAGATATGTCCATTGCTCCATGAATTTGCATTACCCACTTGTAAAATGCAAAGAAAACCAGCTATCTTAGAAGCTGTAGAATAGTGAAAAGACTTACATAAAATGCCAGGCATGTGGAAACTGCTTAACTTAGCACCGCACACAGTGTTTTAGGGCTTGGCAACTGCCTTATGCAATTTTCTCCCACTACCCTTAAAAATCAACATACGTCCATCAACCCTTTGAACAGACTGAGTAACAAATGGATTTTACTGAGTGCCAGAGTTTACAACTCTTTCAAGTTGTCTCTGAGTGTAAGGAATTATTACAAAGTTCTTCCTGTTTTCAATTAAAACAGACCAGGAATCACTAGTCCAGATTAGAAGTAGTAGCAAATCAACAAAGTATCTAGAGACTGTATGTATATATGTATTTATTTATTTGATTGTTTGCTTGTTTGTTTACATTTTAGGGTGGAATGCTGTTACGGACTGGAAAGATGTCCTATCTGGAGGAGAAAAGCAGAGAATGGGTATGGCACGGATGTTTTATCATAAGTAAGTGCACTGTGTTCAGGAAACTATGATCCATTACCAACATATCAAAAGTATTCAGCAGGATTCAGTACTCCCATCTTAGGTTAAATGGGACTGGGAGACTGGAGAGATGGCTCAGTGGTTAAAGCTGCCTTCTACAAATGGCAACCTGAGTTGGATCCTCTAGGCCTGTGTTTCTTTCTTTTTTTTTTTTTTTTTAGTTTATTTATTTTTATGTGCATTGGTGTTTTGCCGGCACAAATGCCTCTATGGAGATGTCAGGTCCTCTATAACTGGAATTACAGACAGTTGTGAGATGTCACGTGGGTGCTGGGAATTGAACCCAGGTCCTCTGAAAGAGAAACCAGTGTTCCTAACCTCTGAGCCATCTCTCCAACCCATGTTTTTTTCTTTTTTTATTATTTAAATTAGAAACAAGCTTGCTTCACATGTCAATCCCAGCTCCCTCTCCCTCTCCTCCTCCACCAACACCCCCAACTTCCCACCCAATCTCCACTCTATTCCCAGGATATCCAAAGTCTGTCATATCATCCAAGGCAGGGCCTAGGCCTTCCCACATGTGTCCAGCTGAGAGAGCATCCCTCCATGTGGAATGGGCTCCCAAAGTCCATTCATATGTCAGGGATGAATACTTACCTATTACCTGAGGCCTCATAGATTGCCCAGACCTCCTCACTGACACCCAAATTTAGGGGGTCTGGATCAGTTCCATGTTGGCCTCTCAGCCATCAGTCTGGGGTCCATGAGCTCCCCCTTGTTCAGGTCAGCTGTTTCTGTGGCTTTCACCAGCCCATAGACCAGTGTTTCTTAACCATCTTAATGCTTTGACTCTTTAATATAGCTCTTCATGTTGTGGTGAGCCCAAAGCATAATATTGTTTCATCGCTACTTCATCGCTGCACTTTTGCTACTGTATGGGTCGCAACGTAAATATCTGACATGCAGGAAATCTGATCTGAGTTCATTATCGTTATTGAAAAATGTGAATATTAACTATATAAGTATATAATTCAATAATTTTTGTAAATGTAGGTACATTATATAATCAACAGCTCAACCAAGATAGAGAATGCTTTTATTACCCTGGAAATGGCTCTTAATCCCCTTGTTGGTCGTGTTCTACATATACCCATATCTGTTCTGGTTGATATGCTTTACAACCTCACATAAATGAAATCATACACTATGCGTGTGTTTAGGTATAGCTGTGATTTTTAGTAAGGAAAGTGATTGTCTTAATATATGTATTACATATAATAAATACATTTACATTGTTAGTCTGAGAAGAGAGTACTTTTTTTAAGAGCCGAATTTTACCAACTCTGGACGTTTCATGCTGGACTTTGAATTGCTGTTCTCTACAGTGAGATTAAACAGCAAATGACAGCTTGACATTTATGACCAGCTGTCAGCCCATCTCTGTGAATTGCCTTGGGTTTTGTCCATAAATACTCAGTGATATGCTCATATTCCCAGCCTGTGAAGGGTGATGTGGTAGACTGCAAATGTGACCAGATTTCCATTTCTCTGTGTTAATAAGATAACCCGGTATTTCAAAGGACCTGTAATTTGGAATGATTGGTATTTGTGGTTGTGAAATAGTGTAGGTCTAATGTAATAATGAGTAAAAAAAAAATCAAGTCAATTCCATGAGACTGAGGAAAATGTAAAGGCATCACTTTTGCAAAGGATCAGTTAAATGAGAAAATTAAACACAGTGAAGGAAAAGTGTAACGTTGAGGACTTGCTTCTTCCCATCCTCACGGGGTCAGCAATAAGGTTATGACAATAAGATTACAACACATACTGAGCTCTGATAGGAAGACTTGAGCTGGCGATAACAGAGAAATTATCCTAAGTATTACAATAGAATATACTTTATGAGAGTCTTATAATTTTAATATTTAAAGAATGACCAGAAAAGCCCTGTCTTGGGGGATGGCCTTGCTCCTTCACATACACTATGCTATTAGCAATACAGCAAGGGGGTAAAAAAAGAAACAAAAACCTAAGCGATGACATCATTTAATACTGTGAGTACTAGTTCTGTAAGTGCCCAATCTGAGTTGTGTTGTTTGTTATATTTAAACACACACACATACACATACACACACACACACACACACACACACACACAAAGCCAACCCCTGCCAAGAACACAAGTATATGATTCATCTTGCATTCCTTAGACTAGGGGTTACTATAACAACAGAATATAAAACATACTTCTTTCTGTTTCAAAATAGCATGCCTTCTTCAGTTCAAAGCACTCTCAAAAGCAAGACAAAGTACAATGAACAGAAGGCAAAAGGAGCTTCATACAAAAAGAAAATTTTACCTAAATTTTCTCTTGTATAGTTTGCTTAACACTTTCTGTTTAAATAAAAACAGAGAGAAACAATATTTGATATGTAATAAGCAACTCCACTGTTGTCTTGGGGATAGTGCAGTGATCATTAAACAGTTTCACAGACCTGTGGGGCACTAGGAATACCTTTAACCCCTGTATCTATCAGCCTTCACCACCATCTCCAGAATGGGTAAAAGAATCCTATTAATGAGCAAACACATGTTAGATAATAATTTACAATACTGAGTAATTGCTTGTGTGAAATGAGAAATTTCTACTGATTTGATGTTAGAGGCCATGAATTTGAAAGAGAACAGGGTGGGGTACATGGGAGGGCTTGAAAGGAAAAAGAGAAGGGGGAAATGATGTTATTATAATATCAAAATAATCAAAATTAAACATAGATAAGTAAAAATAATTTCATGATGAAACTCTCCTGGAAAACTTTGAAATGAATTTTCAAAACTAGAATGAAAACATCAAATGACAGTGTTCATGTTGACATTAGTATCATTGACTAAGCTCTGTTGGGTTCCTGGCCAAATAGGAAAACAAAATGAGACAGACAGACAGACAGACAGATAGAATACAGATCTGCCTTTTGCTTTATCACTGACACTGTGACCAATGTCACATTCTCCCTAGCCCTTCTGAAGCTGCCAGAATATGTCTGCTACCCAATGAAAGACACAGTTCCAGAACAAATTCACTCATCTATTTGTAATTTTTTTCAGACCCAAGTATGCATTGCTGGATGAATGTACCAGTGCCGTGAGCATTGATGTTGAAGGAAAGATATTTCAGGCTGCTCTAGGGGCTGGGATTTCCTTGCTGTCCATAACACACAGGCCTTCTCTGTGGTAAGTGCTTCTAGGATCCTACTCTGGGATGGATGCTCTGTCTGTTTTTCTTAAAGAATAACTTTAGCAAAATTTTCTCTGTAGAGTGTAAGGTATTTCATTTATTTTCTATCTGTATTTCTCTGATGTTTCCCCCTAATACTATAGCTCCTAGTCTAATGTAACTTTAATGTGTTATGTGGAAATTGACATCCTTCTAGTCGTTTTGAAAAGTTACAAGAGAATATGGTGGTTGATCTGAACTAAAAGTATTTATAATACTAGAGTGTACTGTGAAAGATTATGGAGTAGTGTGTGGCTACACAATTCTTTCAACATTTCCTTTAAAATTCAGGGGGGAAGTGTTAAGAATGAGCCTGGTAGGAACAAGCATTAAATCTCCCTTAGTCCTTGAATGTACTAGTGACTTGTTATAACAGTGTTGTTACAATGTTGAAGAATCAAGGGAGAAGTCAGAAATCAGAAACTCTGCTTTTGTAGTGTTATCTACTTAAGGGGGATGGTCTCTCAACAAGTACCTTTAACCCATTGAGCCATTTCACCATTTGACTGTCCCTACACTTCCTATTTTAATGATAGGTTTGTGGGTTTTTTTAATTTTTGCATTTTTCTTCTTGAAATATAAGTTCATTGTTTTCAATTTAATTTTTATGTGGTCTTATATGTTGAAAGGTCAATATTTTGGACTTGATTTTTTATTATTAAAAATGAATGTTTCCATGCACAATATTCTGATCACAGTTGCCCCTCCCCCAACTCCTCCCACATTCTCCCATCTTCCCTACCCACCCAATGCACACCCTTTCTCTCTTTCATTAGAAAACAGACAAGAACAACCAAACTAACAGACAAAAAGAAAAACAAGAGCCAAAGCAAAAGCATAAGACACACATACAGATGTAAGACACACACTTTTGTTCATTCAGAAATCCCATAAAATTACAAAATGGGAAGCAATAATATATAAACGAAAGACCTGTAAATTTTTTTAAAATGCTGCACACCACACAAATCATTATTAGACAAAAATCCTTGAGTTTGGTCTGTGTTTGCCATCTACTGCTGTACATGGGGCCTGCCCTAAAGTGTGGTTTGTATCCCCAGGGAGACTCCCTTGGGGAAGGGCATTGTTTTCTTTGCAGGTGGTTGTCAATTAGAAATAGCTTCTGGGCTAGAGCAGGGGTGGGGGTGGGGGGCTTGTGTCCACTCCTCTCAGCATTGGAGCCCCATCTGGCTTAGGCCTCCTTAGCAGGCCCTGTGCATGCTGACAGTCTCTGAGTTCACATGTGCATCAGTCCCATTGTATCTACAAGGCCTTGTTTCCTCAGAGTTCTCTCTCTTCTCTGGCTTTCAAAATTTCTCAGTCTCCCTTTTCTACGGGGGTTCCTGAGTCCTGGGGGAGGCGGGGGAGGGCTGATGGAGACATCACATACAGGATTGTGTGTTCCAAGTTCTCTTACTCTCCACACATTGTCCAGCAATAAGTCCCTGTATTTGTTCCAATCTACTATAGGAGGAAGCTTGCAAGACATTGATCTATGAATATATAGCAGAATGCTACTAGGAGTGATTTTATTGCAGTTCCTTTAGCGAAACAGTAGTATCTGGTTTTCCCCTCCACCATGGCCTAACTAGTCCTAGGGTTCTGGGCCATCCAAGCAGCACTGGAAATAGGTTCCACATAATGGAGTGGGTCTTAAAACCTATCAGACAGTGGTTGGTTTCTTCCACAACTTTTGTGCCACTATTGCCTCTGGATAACATACAGCAGGTCACCATTGTAGACCGCAGGGTTTATAGCTAGGATGGCATTCCATTTGCCCTCTGAAAGTGGGCTGAGTACCTTCCACTCCCATGAACATTAGTCAGCAGTGGTGAAGGATCCAGGTAGACACCAGCTTGACTTTCTGTGGTTAATGAGTTATGCAAATGTTGTTTTCAACAACAGGGCCTTACCATCAGTCTGTGGAGAACAACCAATTTGTGTGGCCTGAATTGTCGTGGGTTTCCATGGGGCCCCTTTGGCCAACAATGCAATTACCTGTATTCCATTCTAGGCACTGGAGGCTCCATTCAATGGCAGAGCTTTGTCTCTCTCGTTACTAGGTGATTCCATTTAGGTGTCTTTCATATATATGTATATATTTAAAGACATTTCTACTGTAATAGCTTTCCATACCCCCTCAAAGGGCCTTTAGTTTTACCTGTCCCTCCCATATTACTTACTTTACCCCCTCCTCCATTCCCTCTCCATTTAATCCTCTCATTCCAGCCCTTCTATCCATCCATAACTATCTATTCTGTTTCTCCTTCCTTGGGAGTTCCTTCCCTCCCTACTAATCCCTTACTCCACACCCAATCTCTGTGATTTATAAGGATTGCAGCCTGTTTATTGAGTACTTAACAGCTAACATCCACACATAAGATAGAAACTGATTACTTGATGAAATAGTTGTAAGATGAAAAACTGAAGGAAGACATAGAAACTGAAGGCTCGAGAGTCAGTTATGCTACGTGACCTAGTACAGGTGGCTTGCCAAAGGAATAGCTCTGCCAGCCATACTCACTTCACCCACCCAACAAATCCTATGTTAGTGGTGTCGACCTCTCTTAGGAGATGGATTACCTCGCATCTTTCGGTATAAATCTCTGTGTCTCTCTGCAATTCCCATGTAACTGAGCCATGAAAGAAGAATGCATTTTTGTGGCAACAGAGAATGTCTCTAAAAGATTCCTGGGGCAGACATGTAAAAATGATTATAAGTGATTATCACTGAGAAGGTCATATTTATGTGGAATTCATCCCAGAGGATGGTGTCACATTAAACAAGTTGCCTTTGTGTTTCCCTGACTTTCTTTAGTTTTTCTCTGTATGATCTTTTAAATTTTACAGTCTTTCCTCAGTTTCCTTTTCCTTACTTCCATTCTAAGAACACTTTTTTATTCAGAAGATATACTGGGTTATGGGGGGGGTAAATTAATACAAGAATAGTCTTCCGTTGTAAATTATATGTACTCCAAATAAGGAATAAATTCAGTAACATCAAGAAAACTTTACTAGCTATGAAAGACTTTGAACTTTAAAAATTACAATGTTTTCTGAGCTAACACTAAAATTCAAATGCAAATATTCACCTTTACGAAAACTTGTCCTTGAACACAATTTAGAAAATTCTGTAACTAAAAATGACTTTTCAAGATTATGGCTAATAGTACTTAATTTTAATTATGCAGGAAATACCACACTCATTTATTACAATTTGATGGCGAAGGAGGTTGGCGCTTTGAACAGTTGGACACTGCTACCCGCTTAACACTAAGTGAAGAGAAACAGAAGCTAGAGTCTCAACTAGCTGGAATTCCCAAAATGCAGCAGAGACTCAACGAACTGTGTCAAATTTTGGGAGAAGACTCGGTGCTGAAAACAAACCAAAATGAAGAGGACACACCCTAAAATTGATCTCGCTGTGCTTTAAGGTAACTTTTAGGTAAAGCCCTGGAGACTCTCTTCACTGCATGCAGTGTGTTAAGTGCAGAGAAAGCAGGCCAGCAAAAAGTGTTTTGTATAAGATAACCTTTCAAAAGAGAAAAGGTGAAATCATTAGTTGAGACCAATCTTGACTTCCACTAATGCCCAATCAAAGGCCAACTCACCTATAAAGCAGGACCCTCGATGTGAATGCATGTGGTCTGGGGTTCTTCATGTGGGAGAAAGCCCCAAGGCAAAGCAATGAGAACAGCACCTGGCTTGACGCCAGGTGTGCAGAATTAGAACTCCGAGCGCTGTTTCCGCCCACTCACCATGGACGGGAGGTGCAACACCTGAAATCCATAATCAGCATTGCCGGCGGCCAGCTAAATCTGTGTGCAAAATGACAGTTTGATTTAAAAAAATCAATATGAGAAACAAATGCATTTTAATGACAGTAGTGGAAAACAGGCGTGGCTAGGCAAGTAAGTATAAACTACTGTATATAAAATTTTCAGACTTTGAGCAGCTTAATACAGACACAAACAATTAACTTTAATAAGAATTGTTTGTATTTATTAAAAACCCTTTTACTTTTAAAAAGAGGTTTGGCCACACAGAAGAGGAGGATCCCAACCATGCTCATCCTGGCTGTGCTTGACTCCACAGAGCTATCTGCTTCACCTTTTAGGCAGGAATACTGCTTGTTTGGTGCCCAAAGAAGCATTTTTAAAACTTGGTTATTGTGCTAAATGTGGATCCTAGAGTTCATAGTTATTCCCACATTCATTTCACTTTACTCTGCCTTTGAAGCAGTCTTTTGAGGCATCTAGTTTTTGCTCATTTGTTTCGGAGAAAACAGACACTCCAAATTATTTAATCGTGTGACTTATTTTGGAAGACAATGTAGAGGTCAAATGAAGTTCATGACTCTCTGATTCAGTGCTGTAACCACTATTGTCCCCTCAATTTAACTGGGCTATGATGTCAACAAAAAATGAGATGGGCCAGGCAGGTGGCCAGTAATAGAATTGTAGGCAGAGCAGGGATAAGGGAAAAGTTAAAGTAGATAAGTAGATACAATTGAGGGCATGGAGAAATGACACTTGCTTCTCTCCTAGGGAACCTTAAATTTATTGCCAGCACCCACATGGTGGCTCCAAAACTATGTCTAATTCCAGTTCCGGGGGATCTGATGCCCTCTTCTAGCCTCCAAGGACCTTGCATGCATGTAGTGCTCATACATATATTCAGGCAAGATACTCACATACATAGCATTAAAAAATAAATAAATCTGAAAGATAGTAAAGATATTGAAAATTGGCATTGCTAATAATATTATTTAGTTAGTGTTTGCAAGAAATGGAAATTGAGTAGGAAATGGAATTGTCATTGGTGTTTGACTTTAAACGAACCAAGGCAGTCAGCACACTGCAGCTATATATGTCTCCTTGATGCGGGGGTGTCTGCAGCAGCACTCAGAAGGGCAGTACGTCGTACTTCAGGTAAGTTTCGTATTGCTGAATATGATGAGACACAATCTATGCGAGTCCGTCTTAGGAAATAGATCTCATCAGTTTGTGTGCACGGGAGTACCGAGCATAACTGATACTTTAATCTCATCCTCTCTCAGGCATGATGATGTATCAAAAACTAAGAGGACCAGTTATAGTGGCTTAGGCTTTTGTTTGCATATTTAGACATCATCTTAGCAGATGCTCATCTATCATAGACTATTTGGAGCTAGACTACCTGGAAGACATCCACAATGATTGCTGTAAGAAATTGCAGCATTTCCACGTGCTCAATTCCACAAAATCTGGGCAATTTGAATTATCAGTAAATGCAACCACCTTACATGAAGTAATAATATGAAGTTCATAATCAGTAATTTTTCTTTTATCTATTACTACTACTTCCTACTAAAAATGTGAGGCAAGAACTAAAGATTCTGCCTAGAGAAACTATGGAACTGGAAAGTGACACTTGTATTTTAAAACAATTCCCTTATCTTTAAACCATGTTAGCAGTTAGCCAAGTTATAATACTAAAGGGGTAATGTTTGAAACAAATACATTGCATTAGCTTTTAAAGGCACCAGAGGAAAATTAAAAGTTCACATTTGAAACTATAATTTTCCATTTAAGACCTGCTATCTACTGATTTTCTGAATTGCTTTTTCTGAGACCAAATAGTTTTTTTAAAAAAAAAGTTACTGATTTTTCTGAACTACTTTTTCTGAGACCAAATAGCCTGTCTTGGAGGGAGAACTCTGATGAGAACTTGTGTTAGGTACCACAACACTCTTTCCAAAGTGGGAGAGCAGAGCTGATATTCTAACAGGCACACTTGTGAAAACGTGGAGATCCCTGAGCCATCTTCTTCTTTGAATAGAACAAAGAATGAATAAGGAAAATGAAGTATAACTTCAAGTGTCAAATGTTCTTGCCCTCAGAAAAGGCTCAATTATTTGGGGGGTTAACTCACAAGCTGCCTTCCGTATAAATGTAACGTTCTATCTGCAGCTCTCTGCAGCACGCTCTGGCATGCCAAGCATGAGTCTGAAGCTGCGTGCACTCTCATAGACAGGATAGTCTCTACAATGCTCTTGAATCCAAAGGTGATGATCTAACTTGAAAACCAACCCAAATTATCCCTCTTTACCCAGGAATGCTTTTCCTTTGATGGTAATTTAACTGTTGCTCCGAATTTTGGTGTGTCAAAAATAAAAAGGTATAGACAAATGTGTTGGTTTTTATTTGAGTAAAAATGTGTGCTTGTGAAAGATGTAACTTACTTCCATATTTGAAATAGTTTTTGCCTGTGTGTTCCCCCAAAGCTTGTTGTACGGTAGAACTGAAACCCAGAGGAAGTTACGTGTTTAGAGATGTGAAAAACGTGGTAACCATTATTAAATTATTTATTTAAAGAGATACCGTTGACATAATTGCTGTGTGAGCAAATGTGCCCCTGGCTTGAGCATAGAGTGATTCCACACAGCCAGCACAGTGCTGCTGAACCAAATGCAGTGGCTGAGAGTTTGTACGCGAACCTTGAGTATCGCCTCATGAAAGTTTTCACAGGGATGTACATTTTTAGAATTAAAAACATGTGTCCTCTTCAGATCTGGTGACATTTCTGATTACCCAGTGCAAAGAGATCTCACAGTTTAAAGCAAAGAACTTCAGAAGCCATTGTCCTCTTAGGGACTTGAGCTGCATGGATGAAAGTGAATGAGGAAAAAAAGACATCTTAGGGTAAAAGTCAGTATGAAGCTAAGCAAGAATGTGACTGTGAGCACATGTGCCGGTACTTGAGCTCAACACATGTGGTGGTTTGGATGAGAATGGTGCCCATAGGCTCTTACGTTTGAGTGTTTGGTTTCCAATTGGTGGAATATTTAGGAAGGACTAGGAGGTGTGGCCTTGATGGAGGAGGTATCTCATGGGAGAGGGGGTGGACTTTGAGGTTTCAAAAAGCTTACAAGACCAAACCCAGTCTCACCCTCCCTCTGCCTCCATCTTCAAATAAGACGTGAGTTCTTGGCAGCTGCTCCGACCTGCCTGCCTGCCACCATTAAATGCTTTGTTTTATAAGTTACCTTGGTCATGGTGTCTTTTCACACCAATAGAAGATGATAAATTCTTTAATCACCATGAAAACTCATTGATTATCAGAGGAGCTACAAGCTGCTTTAGTGGTATAAAGTACCTTATTTCTGTATTGTAACTCTTAGGTTTGTGACCATGTATGCTTTAGTTACACATTGTGTGGTGGTGCCTCATACCTGATTCCATCATTTATGAGGCAGAGGCAGGAGGATTCCCCATAAGTTTGAGGACATCCTGGGCTACATAGTAGGTCCCTGACTGTAGGATAAGATTGTGTCTTTTTAAAAAAAAAAAAGTGGAAAACTGTGCATAACATTTCCCAAATAGTTGCCTAAATAATTTCTCTATTAGTTCAAAGCATGCATTAAATTTCAATTTATACTGAATTCTTTTGTCTGCCTATCACTTTCTCTTCTTGGATGATACACAAACTCTTATCAATCACAATACTCATCGTACATAGGAAAACACATGGCAGGCAGGAGGCAATTAAAAAGTGCTTGTTCAAGAGCATTATGAACTGATGAGTGAATGAATGAGTTGAAATGTGGCAATAAGGTATATGAGAAAAACATGAAGACCAAGGTAAGGCTGAATAATATCACTAGTGAGAAATAAAATCCATTCTCCCTTCACACCCTGTGTCAAACTCCCAGTAACTAGAACTGTAATATTCACTTGTTTCCTTTTTGTCAACAGAAAACGGAGGCTCTTGGTGGTTTTTTTCCTTCTCTCTGTACTAAGAATTAGTCCAATACTTTTGATATTTTCAATATGATGCTCTTATAAAAGTACCACAAATGGTTTTCCTCACATCAGCCACACATATACTAAAAATGCAGCAATGCAGAGAACATTAATGTGGCCCTGGTAAAAATATCCTTCTAATTCCCTGGTTCAACAGAAAATAGTATATTAACTATTCTATTTGAGTAACTTAGTTCCACTTGCATTCTTTCTCTTCCCCAGGCCCCGAAATTCCAAAGTGTACATTCTTCTTTCTGCTTCATTAAGTGATCCTCATGCCTTATGTCATGAGGACAAGGTCTGGGAATCTCTATATCTTGCTATTTTTATGGATCCCACACTGACCATCTAAGAAGTGTTTGTGAGTAGGGGAAGTTAGAGGCACGGACAGATGTCTGCTTTCTTAATGTTCACATAAAGTTTAATACCATCCAAACAACAAGTAATGGTGGCGAGCTCCCAATGATAAGAAATTAAAGCAGAAATAGACTTAACTAACAGTTGAGCACATTAGAAACACAGCCTTGGGCCACAGCTGATTGGACTGCTCAGTTGGTCCTAACCTCTTATAACTTCAGGCTGAGCATTCTCCTGAATTAGCTTCTCTTTGCCTCTGGTTTAGATTCTTCACAGTGTACAAAAAAGATTAGCAAAACATGCTATTGAGCAAACCCACCTGGCAAAATTCCAAGCACCCATGTTCCGGATCATTGCTTTTCTTTATGCTCGCACAGGAGCAGTTGAGCACCTCTGGAAAAGTTCTCCTTGGGCTACTACAAACTCAGGATGATTCATCTGGAAGGAACTCTCAGCACCACAGGGCAATCCCACTATATTTCTCTTGCTCTTTTGTTCTTCCTTTCTCTGCAACCAGTGTCTCACACATTCCCTGCTCCGTGAACAAGTGCAGCAGATGTGCCCTTTCTTCTCTTCTCATGGCTGGCCATTGGCAGACCCTTCGTTTCCGCTATCACCTCACCTCAACCATCACTCCTTCCACACGGTGCCATTTCAGAGAACTACCTCTTTCCCTACATACACCAGTTGCTCCTAGGGGTTATCCCTGGTGTCTCATTCACCAAAAAGACCCTGCTTCTCTTGCCTCCTAGTCATAGCTTTTGAATACATCCATTCCTTTCCAGATTCGCTGTCAAGTTAAAAGAACATTTGTTCCCTCCAGTGACACATTGAGCCCTCTTCAATAACTCCATTCGCCTATTTTTAACAGATTTTTTAAATGTTGTGTGAGATTAAACATGGGTTGAAAACTGAGAGAGAGAGAGAGAGAGAGAGAGAGAGAGAGAGAGAGAGAGAGAGAGAGAATAGTGAACTAGATGGCAGAAAAAAAGATGGAAGACGGAGCAGCAAGGGTGTCCAAAAGAAGCAGAACTAGAGGCACGGTGTGGGCAACAGGTATGGGAGCTCATCCTCAGCAGACAAGGTCGTTGCCAAGTAGAGCTGGTCCTCAGGCCGCAGAGACACTCAGGCCACCACTGGGCCCACCTCGCCTTGTCACCGCCTGCTAGGATGGTGCCACGGCCCAGCTGGGGACATGGAGCCACTGCTGCTACTGCTGCCACAGCCACTGTTAGTGCTGTTCACTGTTCTTCCTTCTTGGGGGAGGAGAACATGGGGCCACCAAGGGCTTCAAACAAGATGGTTGGACTGTCAGGGTGGCCTGTGCCGAGGACAAGGCGGTGTACAGCAGCCCAGAGCTTATACAGGTCCTGCCCCAAGACTCTCTGTTCAGCCACCCCGACTCTGAGCAACAACAAGATATCCAAACTGAAGAACCATTCATTTTCTGCTAACTCTTCTCCATGCTGCCACAGGAAACTGGGTTGCCATCCACAATCCATGCTGCCGGTTGCTATGGGCAGGGAGACATCTTTAGCGGTAGTATGGATGACTACAGTCTCATTACTGAGAATGAGAGACATTGAAGGCATCTGTGACAACACCCCCCCCATTAAAAAGGAAAACAGTCCAGACAAGAAGCTACTAAAGAGTCCTTAAAAGCTGTGATAAAGGTGCTGAGGTATAGCTCTTCACAGCTGATGGTTTCTGGTGGGCAGTGGTGGAGTTTGTGGGTAGAGAAGGTGTTGGGGAAGTCCTGTTATTTGCCTGTTATTTGTCAATAAAGCACTGTCTGGCCTATAGGGAATCTAGATAGGAGGGACTAGGAGTCCAGGAGAACTCTGGGAAGGAGAAACACAAGAGAGTTCGAGATGTAACCGCCATGGGGTAGGAAGCCCGGAACTATTCTCCGGTAAGAGAAATACATAGATTAATAATTATGGGGTAATTACTTAAGTCAGAGCTAGCCAGGAAGAAACAATCAAGGCCTACAGCTTCATAATTAATACAGCGTCTTAGGTGTTTATTTGGGGACTACAACATGGCAGAGCCCAGGCGGCTGGCGGGGGGGATAAACCAAAGCAGCTAGCAAGGAAAAAGCTTCTCTTAACATAATGGTTGTCAGAAGCGGGATTGAATTTCCACGCAAAATAACAAAAGCTTTAAAGGAATTTTAGAAACAGAAGAACGGAGAGAAGAATAGATTTTTGGTAGCAGCATTTTTCTCAGGTGTGCTCTGTTTTGCTAGCCACAAGCCGAGATTCCCGCGGCTCGCTTACTGGAGTCTTCCTGACTCGGCATAAAAAGAAAAAGAAAAAAGGAAAAAAAAAAAACCCAACAAGGTTCTTTTAAGAGACTCTGCTAACGATTAAAAGGTGTGTACATACAGCTAGAAGTGGCAGCTTTTGCTGGATGTCAGCATGGACTGAGGTGGTAAGCTGGAGTCACGCTTATGCCCGCCATCTTGACGGAAAAACCGGCAGTTTAAAACAGCCGCGGTTTTACAGATAAGACACGTGGCTAGAAAAACATAAAGATTTACAGTAAAGTCAGACTTGGATGAACAAAACTTCTAAAGGTTTACAGTGTGTTTAAAAATATACGTAAGGTTGAGAGAGAAAATAAAACGACAAAGTAGTAAATATAAAAGCCGGCGTTGTGGTGGCGCACGCCGGTAGGATTTACTTCAGAGGCAGAGACAGGCTGATTTCCAAAGAGAAACCCTGTCTCAGAAAAAAATAAATAAAAGTAAAAGAAATAAAGTAATAATAGATAAATAAATAAGCCACGTAAAGATGGAAAATACGCAGAGAGTCTGGATACAGTACGCTATTGTGTTTTTCAGTTTTTTCATTGCTAAGGAAGGAACAACTGCTGCTAAAGTACACTTGATTATAAATGCTGCTAAATTAATCCAACTTCTATCTTTTGAAAATGCCTTAACTTCAAAATTTAAGAATAAGGATATGTTACTTGGGAAAGGAGATTTTATTTATGTTTCTACAGAAAATGAAAAGCTGAGGATTCCTTCCAGGCTTCTGTGGTTTGATGAGCCAAGACCCCCGGAAGCAGTGGACCAGATGTTCCAACAATTGAAACAGCTAAGATGATGCAGTCTTACAGACCACGAAAATAAGGACTTATACAGGTTTCTGAGTTTTGTCATGATCCCCATGGTATGAACAGCGCCCCCTTCCAGCATGAAGCAGTTTGGAATG